GTGAGCTCGACTGCCGAGCTCGACTATGTCTTATTGAACGATTGCTTGCAGCGAGCGGGCCGTCGGCTTACTGTCACAGACCAATCTACTGACCGGCGCTGTGGGTGAGGAGGCCAGGCCAGGCCGGCAGTCGACGCCACCCCGCACATCCATCCCGCCCGCACGCCCGGGCGCCTGGACGATGTAGCCATCGCGCTCCGTCCGAGTGAGCAGCAGCTCGAGGAAAGGACGTTGGGTTACTGGGAGGGCCCTGCCAATGCCCAATCATGCGCCAGGCATCCTGTCGTTCGGCACTTTTGTACCTGACGGAGTTACGAGGGCGGCGGTGTTGTCGACCGACTTCTCGGACCGCCTGCGAGAGGAGGGCAGCATGAGCCAAGGCGTGGTGGCAAAGACGGACGAACACGGCGGGCGAACACGAGAGAGAGAGGGAGGGAGAGGCAGACTAAGACTGGCTTGGTTGCGCGTTGTCGGTCCGTCTGCCGGTCGGTCAGATCGGAGGCTGAACGGACCGACGAGGGAGCGGGCAAACATGAGAGCGGATGCAAGGCACGCGAGGTGCTTCCAGGCCCCGCACACCTCCTGCTCTGCTCTGCTTTGGCCCGCCCGGCTTGCCAGCCAACCCCACGTTCATCTGTCCTCACCGCGGGCGCGGGCCAGGCGACGAGGGGCGATCAACAGGTCCAGCCCAACAGGATTACGGCGTGGCAGGTCGGCCCGAGGGGCATATGCTCAGCGCTGGGCATAGATTGCTCGCTCTGCCATACCGCTTGCACCGACGTCCAACACGCACGCTACGGTATCGCTTGCTGGCGCAGATCGCCACCGCGTCTCGAGCGCTCGCGGGCGGGCGAACGGGCGGGCAGGGTGTTGGTCTCGGACGGCGGGCCTGGCCGGCGGCGTTCTTTGGAGAATGTTTTAGAGCTGCCGCGTCGAAGCCGACTCAACTTCGAGGCGCGCACGGGAAATCCGTGTCGATCGGATGATCAGTCGGGCGACGCTTTGGAAAGAAGCTTCGCTCTGGTCCCTCTGCTTCGGTCCGAACCGCAGCGACCAGGCAGGGTGGATCGGTGCCTCGAACAAGGTGACGGCGAGGATGCCTATGCAAGCTGGGCCAGCTAAGGTCGGAGGCGTGCCGAAGAGGCATCGGGCGAGCCGCGCACCACCAGCGTTCGGTGTTGTTGCGGCATCGTCTACCAGTTCACGCGCACGCGCGCAGACCAGAGCCAGGTCCGATGGCCTCGGAGGGGCCACAGCGGAACGGACGGGCAGGCCCCGCGTTGACGAGTCGCGAACCTCTGGCCCCCTCGTTGTCGCCGTCGTCGTCGTCGTCGCCATTATCGTCGCCATCGTCGTAGCTTTCGATCCGTGCCGGCGCTGGGATCATGGATCGACCCTCGATTTCATCCAAGATTCCTGACCGAGGCCATCCAGACGTCAGAGTCAGTCGTGAGCGCGAGATCGACGGCAAGGCATGGGCCCGAGTTCCTGTCTAGCTGGTCTTCACCATCGCAAGCAACCAAAGGTCGCACGACTGTGCGTACCTACGGCTTCCGCCCGGTTGCCATGCGGGCGGAGGGCGGGTCCGATGGACGGCCCCACGTCGTCCTTCTCGACTCGGCGAACAGACAAGCAGAGCGACCCGACGTCAGCTTCTTGGACCCTGTTTGCGCGGCCGTCTGTCGTCTGTGTACGTGCGTTCGATGCCAAGCAGGCTTGACAGAGGGCGACGATGGCGCCGAGCCGGGCGCACGCTGCTGTATGTAGCATGTGATGGTGCCATGGCAGGCTGCTCTAGGCCAAGCAAGGCCGAGGTCAGGATGGCCCGCCGACCGGCACCCACCGCGCCGCTGTCACCATACCCAGCCTTTGCTCGCCGGCGCCACCGCTGCGGCTCTGCTGCGGTTGGTCGTCGGTCGGCCCGTCCGATGTGCTGCTGCGGGTGCCGTTTGTCGCTGCACAAAGACGTGGGCCGGCTTGGACCGAGGCTGGACCCTGATAGCAGCGGCGCACGTACATACGCACGCATGCGCACGCCAGGTGTGCAGCGCAGAGGCTAGGCGAGCAAAGCGCGGCCAGGGCGGACCGCAACCACCCAAGCAGCAGCAGAGCAGAGCAAGCAAGCAAGCTGGCCAGGCATGGTGCATATGCAAGCATCTATCCGTGCGTCCGCAGATCGGTGCAACCGTACGTCGGGCGTCGCGCAGCCTGGCCTGGCAGGCAAGGCGTAGAGGCACGGATAGGCGGGCGAAGCATGTCCGACGTCTGCCTCTGGTTTGCCAGCTGGTAGGTTGCTTGCCGTCGAGCAGCTGGCGAAAGAGGGCCGACGACCCGTCCTGGCCTCGTCTCTCGATCCTTTCTCCCCCTCGAGCCTGCGGCCCACGCACGCGAGCAAACATGGCACCGGGCCCGCTCGTCGAGGTTAACTACTACGGCGGACGAGGACGAGAAGGGGCCGGTGCCGTCCGGCCTGATTCCGCCGCTGCCAGAGCGAGGGCCCACGCCTCGACGAGGATCGACCAGCGGATTTCCGATGCATCTCCTCGACGCTGCCTTGCTTGCTTGCTTGCTTGCTTGCTCCCTCGCTTTGGGATAACGATGCCCTACCTTGCTGGCCAGCCGGCCTGCCTGCTCTCCATCGTCGCGAGCGAGCGTTACGTGCCCTAGCCTAGCCTACCTCTGCCAACGCACGCACGCTCGCAGCCCAAGAAGTCATGCATCCTGCGCAGGCCGGCGAGGTGCCCGCCAGGCCAGGCAAAGAAAAATTCAAGGATCGGATTGATGGAAGCAGGCGGCCGGCCAGGTCGTGCGTCTGTGTGACTTTAGGGAGGAGGCACCCTACCTGGCCTCTCGACCTCGCATCGCCTTCCTGCCCGTGGGTCAACACCCGGACCCCAGCCCCCGCCCAGACTCTCTCGCTCTCTCCGTTGGATGGCGGATGACCCGCCCGACCTGTTAGCCTGGCCTGGTCGGCCCTGGCCTGTTCAAACGAGAGTCCTCCGCGTGTGCAAGGCTGAATGAAGCGTTCCGTCTCGCCGTCGTGGCGTGTTCGGGTCGAGGTCCGGCGTCGTCAAAGCCGAGAAAGTGCGGAACGGGCCCAGGCAAGAGCCCGCTGCGGCCATCGTTGTTGTCGTTGTGGTTGTGATTGTCGTCGTCGTCGTCGTCGAAGCTGCATACATGCCTCCCCGAAACGCAAGCCAGAGGCAGGCAGACAGACAGGCGGGTTGTCAGACCCGGAATATCAACCCGGCTGCTTGGCAGGCCGTCGATTGCCCTGGCCTGGCTCGGATTTTTCGCCTGGTGTGGTCGAGGTGACAGGAGCACGTACGGCCGGCCGTGCGGGCACGGGCAGCCAGGCCGAGCTAGCGAGCGGGGCTAGGGGACAAGCGCAAGCAGGCTACAGTAGGCAGGCTGGCAGCCAGACAGGCCAGGGTCCTTCTGGTCCTGCCTGGCCCGCCCGCCCGGCTCGTCGAGACCTGGGGCCGAGCAGGCGCGGGGGGCCTACCCAAAACACGCACCGACGGCACCCTGGCCTGTCCTGGCATGGCATGGCCCGCCTCTGTGGCTCGACGCACACAACAACATCACAGCCCGCCTTGGCTCGCCAGAGGCCTGCATCGGTCAATGGGCCGAGCGAGCATCCGGGACCATCACATCGCCGCCGCCGCTTGCTGGCTGGTTGTTGCTGCTGCTTGCCCGGCTCCCTTGACCAACATCACACATCCCAAGCGCTCGACGTCGCTCCCTGCCTGCCTACTGCTGTCTTTTTTCCCCTCTTGCTTGGCTCGACCCGCCCCGCCCTACCCTCGTAGCCTTTCGTCGACCTGGCATCTTGACCTCCAACCACTTCCTCCAACACCACCATCGCCCTCCGCTCCATCCCTTTGCATCCCGTCGCTCCGGACCCTCGTCGCTGTCGTCGCCGTGCCCTCCATCCCGGCAGCATCACAACCACCACCACCACCGCCACCACCACCAGCATCGTCTTTTTCGTCGGCGCCGGCCTTGTTGTGATTTACCCCTGGACCCGCTCTTGACCGGCATCAGCTCATAGATCCAGAGGACCTCGCTCGAGACATCGCATCGCATCGCATCACGCCGGATCCCATCTCGCTGCTGCTCTTGCTGCTGTTGCCGCTCTTCGTTCGTCCAGCCCGCCGCGCCGGATCGTTCGACCTCGTCCTACCACCTCTCCCCCCGCCCCACCGACCCACGGACCCTGCCACATCCCCTTGGCGCCGAGCCTCGGCCGTGACAACGCCCCGCCCGCCTGTCCTGCCTTCCTGCCCGCCACCTGCAGGCCGCACACGCCTCCTCCGCCCTTGTTCTTCATCTGGTCAATTGTCTGCCGCGTATGAACTAGCCTCTGTGCGACCGCGACCCACCCATCCCTCTTGCATCCATCGCGCCGCCCTGTCCATTCAGCGCCTCGCCCACGCTCGGAAGGAAGGACACAAAAGAGCCAGCCCGCGCTCGCACGACCCGACGCCAGCCTCGCACAAACGCACGTCCATCCATACCGCATCTCGCCGCCAGCGCCGCCGTCGCACGCCTGCACGCTGCCTCTCGCCTGCATCACACTCGCACGCACAGACCCTCGAGCCAATCCTTCATCTCCGGAAGGCGTCCTCCTTGCCTGCTAAGAGCTGGCTCACCTTCAGCGCTCGCGCCAGCTTTGAGCCCTTCCCTTCCCTTTCATTAAAGGCCGTCTGAGTCGAGCTCTGCACCTTCACCCGTGGCACCGCTCTTCCTTTCCCTTCCCTCTCCGGTTGCACCGCGTGTTGCTCGCTACGAAGCCGCCCACCTCGCCTCTCGCCAGCCACCATCCTTTGAGCTGAGGTCGCACCAGTGTAAGTCGTCACACGAGAGGCGATCTATCCTGTCCTGCTCATCATCATGACCTGCAGGACTACAGCTGACACCAGGGCCATAACGACTTCTCTCCTCGCAGCCAGAACCAGGACAGGCATCCGCGGCTCTCTGCACCCCCTGTCACGCACATGCACACGATGGCACAACCAGCGGTCAGGGTGAGTTCGATCTCGGCCGATTCATCCTGCGCGTTCGCCACGTCGACGTTTGGCTGACGTCGTAGCCTTTGCATTCCCTCCGCTCGCTCGCTCGCTCGCCTCGACAGCCGTCTTTAACGCGGCCTCGTGCCACGCGCACCGGCATCCCGGCTTCCCGCAGCGGCGAGCGCATCTACAACTTCGATGGCAGCAGCAGCAGTGCCATCCGCGCCAAGGCCCAGAGGGCGCCCGCGACGACGTCGCTTGCAGGCAAGGTGCGACCTGATCAGAGGACCGGGCCCGCGAGGGTCGCGCTGTCGGACGTCAGCAACCGTGCCCACGCAGCAAAGGTGAGAGTCGTCGCACGCAGATTGGCGAGGTCGACCTTTCCCGGACCCAGCAGAGCCCTCATCCGTTCCAACCTCGTTGCCACCCTTCCATGACAGCAGACCTCGGATCCCGCCGACCGCAATGCGCTCAAAGCCAAGCTCCTGCGACCTGCCGCGACGGCGTCTGGGCCCGGGCTCAAGGGCCGCACCCTCAGCAACATCGGCATCCGAAGGGAGACGCAGCCTGCCTCGCACAACAACGGCTCCACCTCGATCTCGGGCAGCCGATCCATACCGGAAGGCGTTGCGGCCATCGCCAGCGGGCAGCGAGGCCCCGGCTTTGCGTCTGCGGGTTCGACGGCGGCGGACGAGGTGGGCGCTGCCGCGTCCATGGACGTTGACCTGCCATCGCACGGCGAGACGGTCCACATCGACGACGCCGATTCGGATCTCGACCGGCTCGCCGAGGACGTCGGCAGCGACTCTGAGGACGAAGATGCGACGCTTGCCGTCGACGCTGGGCAGGCCCACACCGTTGCTCTCGCCGGCGTGGGCCACATCCCCGTGGACGAGATGAGCGAGGTCGAGTCGACCTACAGCAGCGATGAGGACGACGACGACTCGTCTGGCAGGGACGACCTCCGGCAGGGTGGCCAGCAGTGGCTCGACCCCGGCAGCCTCAGCGCGCCGTCGAGGCCCGAGAGCGTCACGTCGGCCGAGGAGAGCGACAACTTCGAGCTCGACATTGACCCGGAGTGCATCGTCTCACTCCACCCGGAGCTCGAGGCGGCGGCGCAGGAGAAGATCGCGCTCATCAAGGCCCGCTACACTGAGGCGGTGGTGCGCCCTCGCGCCCTGCGCGCACAGCAGGAGCGCCACGAGGCCGTCGCGCGCGGCGAGATCCCCGCCGAGCTGGCGGCGCACGAAGACGAGCTCGCCGTCATGGGCCTCGAACCGGACGAGGTCAGAGACACGACCATGGTTGCGGAGTACGCGCCAGAGATCTTTGCCTACATGAGCCGCTGCGAAAAGCAGACGATGGCAAACCCCAACTACATGGAGTTCCAGAACGAGATCCAGTGGTGAGTGCCGGATTCTCGCCGGGATCTATCACGCTCCTTTAGCGAATGACTGCCTCTGCTTCATCGCTGACCATTCGCGCCTCTCGACTTGCCTCGCCTCATCTCGACCGCCTCTCACCCCGGCAGGCACATGCGAGCGACCCTCGTCGACTGGCTGCTGCAGGTGCACATGCGGTACCACATGTTGCCCGAGACGCTATGGATCGCCATCAACATTGTCGATCGCTTCCTGAGCGTGCGGGTCGTTAGCCTCGCCAAGCTGCAGCTGGTCGGCGTCAGCGCCATGTTCATCGCGGCCAAGTACGAGGAGATTCTGGCGCCTGGCGTCGACGAGTTTGTCTTCATGACGGAGAACGGCTACTCGCGCGAGGAGATCCTCAAGGGCGAGCGCATCATCCTTGCCACGCTCGACTTCAATGTGTCGTCGTACTGCTCGCCCTACTCGTGGGTCCGGCGCATCTCCAAGGCCGACGACTACGACATCCAGACCAGGACGCTGTCCAAGTTCCTCATGGAGCTCACGCTGCTCGACCACCGCTTCCTGCGCGCCCGCCCGAGCCTGATTGCCGCCATCGGCATGTTCCTCGCCAAGAAGATGCTCGCCGGCGAGTGGGACGACGCCTTTGTCTACCACAGCAACTTTACCGAGGAGCAGCTGGTCCCGGGCGCCAACCTGCTGCTCGAGCGTCTGCTCGACCCGTCGATCGAGGAGCAGTTTGTGTACCGCAAGTACGCCAACAAGAAGAAGTTCCTCCGCGCCAGCGTGTACGCGAGGAAGTGGGCCATCCGCAACCACAATGCGCTGATGGCGGCGGCTGCGGCGGCATCGTCGACTTCGGCGGCCAACCCCTACGGCCAGCAGCCGCTCTAGCGATGCCGATGCCCTTCGACGTCGCACCGCCGACCCATTCACGACAACCTCTTCCCGCTTCGCCTGCTCCGTCTACGAACCTCAGCTCGCCGCGCGACCCGCGCCTGTACGACCACGCCCCTCTGCATCCGGCCCTCGACCTCCCTCTCAAAAACCACCTTGCCGACCCCTCTACGCTCATTTGGCCTCGCCGCCTCGGTTTTCCCGTCTCCGCCTTGAACATCATCATCATCATGATCCACAACATCAACGCCAACAGCATCTTTTCTCCCCCTTTCGTCTTCCATCTCCCGGGCCTCCGCTCCGTGTCGCCGCATGCGCAGTCGTCTCTGCCGGCGGTGTCCGTCTCGGTGTGTCCCGAGGCAGGCAGAGAGGCAGGCGATGTCGGGCACGCCTCTTTGCCCTTCTTCCGCCTTGTTCTCACTCTTGCTCCGCCGTTGAGCCCAAAGTTCCGCTGCATCGTCCCTTCAACAACATCGCGCCATGTCGGCGGCCGCGCCGGCATGGGTTGTGCGAGTCTATATCCGAACCACTACATCCCCCCAATGACCCTTGCCGCACCCCTCCAACCAAGCCCTCGCCGCCGATGTTTTCCGTTCCCACACCTCTGTCCATCAACCTGTAATGCCATGCAAACCTAGCCCGCTCCTCTTGATGTCGTGCTGCGTGCGCTTGCCCGTGGGTGCGGAGCAAGGTGTGCCGGTCTTTGACGGGTGCGGGAAGAGGGGAAGGGCAGCAAAAGAAGAGGAGGAGTTCGCCTGGCGCCACAACGGGTGGCATTGGAAGCAGGGGGTTGGCCGTAGGGGCTTTACCGCCGCGCTGGCTCTGGCTGCCTTGGGTCAAGGCTCGGTAGGCATGAGCATGGCAGGCGGCAGGAGGAGGCGAGGGGCACGAGATGCCGACAGGACCAGCCATGGACCCATGGACCGCCGGCAGGTCTGCGGATTGGGAGAGCCGTACAAGGGGTGGCGATGGGAACGAGTGCCTCTTGAGACTGCACGTACCCCGCAGCAAGGAGGTCAGCAACGACGAGAGCAAGACGGCGACGACGACGACGACGACGACGACGACGATGGCCCGCTGGCCCTGACACCAGCCCCTCTCGAGAGAAAGAGTAGGCCAGGCAGCCAGGTCAAGGCGAGGCCACGCCTGACCCAGGGCAAGCAGTCAAGCGGCTCGCGTCTAGAGGGCGTTGGGTGCCCCCTTGCCGTCAACCGCCCGGCGACGTTGAGCTGCTGCAACAAGTCAACCAAGGCGTGGCAACCGCAACACCCGCCCAGCTCCTCATCCTCCCCCTACATCTCGCCTTTCTGCCTGTTTCTTTGCTCTTGCTGCGGCGCACACGCCGAAGGAGGGTACCACGCTGCGGCAAGGCGGCGGCGGCGGCGGCGGCGGTTAGGAGGTGCGCTGCGTAGGCCCGGCCAGGCAGGAGGCAAGGTGAAGTCGTAGTTAACTACCGCCTAGTCGGGTCGAGAGTCCAGCTGTGGTCAGAGGGCTCGGGTTGTATTAATTCCGTCGAGCCCCCCTCGAGACCTAGGCATTACAGAGGCCGTATTTGCCATTGCCAGGCCTGCGTTGACTCGGATTAGACTATTTGGGGATTTCAACTGGTTTGAAGTGCCATTAGAGCGTGGGCGGAGGGGCCTGGCCGCGCAGAGTCGAGAGAGAGAGAAAGGGACAGAGGCACGTCGGCCTCGTCTTTGCCCGGCTGGACTGGTGGGGCTAAGTAGCAAGCAGGCCGCCCAGCTCAGCTCGGGCATCGACCTCCGCCGCTCCCCTCTCCACCACAGCTAGCTCAAAACCCACCACCACCACCACCACCACCACCACCGCGTCGGCCGCCTAGCCTCCTCTCCGCCCTCGCACCGTCGTCGCCGCAGCCGCAGCCTCAGCCGTCGCCGTCGCCGTCGTCGTCACAATCGTCATCACTGTCGCCATCGTCATCGGCGTCGCATCGCAAGGCTCCACCCATACAAATACGTCGCCTCCCGCTCTTGGCCACCGCAACCCCACCACTCGTCTAGTCCATCACCGTCGCCGCCACCGTCCACTGGCGCTCGAGTGGCCACCCGCTCACCTCACCATCCTCATCGCCGCGCTCCAAGACACGCCGCCTTCGCTCCGTCTATTCCGTCGTCCTCGCATCTCCTCTCTCACGAACCAGTGCATCGCAACACGACCCGCTCCGCTCCGCACCGCCCGTCTCTCGCACCTCACCCCTCTCGCGCAGCAGAGTCCCGAGCGCCGCACACACAGACCTGTATACCAGCGCATCTTCACCTGTTTCCGCCACGCTCCGGCAAGGCCCTCTCACCAGCCTAGATCAACGCTCCAGCGCTCCAGCGCAACCGACGCCACCTCGTCTGCTGCTGCTGCACCTCCAGCTAAACTCTCGACGCTTGTCTTGCCACGCGCCATCGTGGCCACCTGCGTGGCGCTGCATTGCCGGCTCATCTAGACCTCGCCCTCGCCCTTTCCCTCGCTCGACTCTGTTCGCCACTCTGCTCGACGCCGGCCTCGCTCGCCCTGTCTGCCCGTCTCTCGTCCCGGCACTGCCACCCTGCCCCCGTCCCTCTGCGTCCGCGCCGTGCCCACTTCCCAGCGACTGCCTCGCACTGCTCCGCATTGCACCCTCGCATCCTCTTGCCCAGCTGTCGCGCTGTCGTCGATCGCCGGAGCGGCGGATGACCGTGGCCCATCATGAGGGAGTCCAACTTCAGCAACCCGGCGCAAAACAAGGCGTGCGTGTGCATCTCGGCCGCCGTCTATGACCGCAGAGGTGAGTGCAGCAGCTTGTTCCTCCTTCCTCGGCCGGCTACCGCGAGTCGTCAACAAGTGAGAAGCTGGACGGATTCCACGCGCCACTCCGTCTCGGCGCGGGTGGGACCTCTCTGCCAGGCTGGCCCGTTGCCATTCCACTTGCCGCTGCCGGTGACGAAACCTGGACTAGTCTCCCCCTTCCCCATCCGCAATTGTCGCGCCCTCTGACACCTCGTTGTCCTCTGCTTCACCTTGCTTGCACGGCATCTTTTGCAGCCATCGACTGCACGGCCACCTTGCCGCTGATCAACTCGCTCAACCATCTGGCCTACCTCACCTCGACCTCGCCCCGCATTCGCGAGATGGTCACTCTCGACGGCGGCCTCGAGAGGCTCATCCGCATTCTCCGCACCATCCCAAAGACCCCCTCGCCCAATGCCCGCGCCATCTCGATCAAGGAGATGCAGGCCATCTGGAAGTGGAGCCTGGCATTCCAGTGCGTCGTCAACATCGGCGTTCGCGGCAGCGAAAACGTCCGGACGCGCGTGGTCGAGGCCGGCATGGTGCCCGTCACCATCCGCGTGCTCGAGTCCTACCTCCGCGGCGTCGAGCAGGCCAAAGAGGAGCGGCGACGCGAGGCGGCCGAGTCGAACCGGCGCGAGGAGCGAAGTCACCGCTCAGGACAGGACGCAGACGCGCGCACATCCGGATCTGCGCAGCCCGCCGCGTCCAGGCTTGCAACCGCCGCTGTCACGTCGCGACAGCGCGCTTCATCTTCCTCAACCACTCACCAGCCGGCCGCGCTACCCAGCAGCGAGGGTCTCGACGTCGACGTCGAGATCAGCGAAGCGGCCACAGCCGCCGAGCCCACTGCGACTGAGGCGCTCCAGCTCGCGGCCCACCGGTCGAGCCGTACCGGGAGCAACGGCCGCCTGCGTCACCTTGTTAGCGAGACGCGACCGACGACGCCGCTCGAGGGGAGCACTGCTTCGACCGTGTTGGCCGGTATGGAGAGCCGAAGCTCGTCGGACGGCTTCCTCGAGGCGCGGACCTCGAACCTGCCCGGTGGAAACGACGATCGCAGCCCCCTGCCCATCATTGACGCTCTGGATTCGATGCCACTCGCCCCCGCCCAGGTCGACCTCGATGGCGGTCGCCTGCACCCGCCCGTGTCGCCCTCGGCATCGTCCTCGAGCGAGCTCCCCTCGGCTGGCGTACCCGAGAGTAACGGAGCTGACTTTGGCAGCCGCGCTCCGTCCAACTCGGGCGTCCTCACGAACGTGAGCTCGACCGAGGACTTGCGCGGCCACGGCGGCGAAGCCAGCGGAAGCGGCTCAGAGGGCGTCGAGGATGCCGACATGTTCGCCGACGAAGCCGATGACAGCGAACTCGACGCCGCTGCCGCCTCCCACAGGCGCTCGACGGAAGATATCGTCGAGGATGCAGAGGATCGGCGGACGCCCAGACCCACGAGGAGAGCCCTGGCGCCGCTCGCCGACCAAGAGGCTCCGGCGGTGTTTTCGTCGGCGTTCAACACACCGGCTCAGAGCACGGCGGCCATGGTGTCGGAGCCTACCGTCCGTCAGGATGCTGCTGCTGCATCGGCACGCACGCAGACGCTGAACCAGTCCGAATTCCAGCAACAGCTTGCAGAGAGAATGGGGCAGGGCTCGAGGTCCAGGAACCGCGAGGCTGCTCCCGCCATCGAGGGCAGCGCCCAGTCCGGACGTGAGCGCGAGCGGGAACGGGAACGGGACCGTTCGCGCCGAGCGCCCAGCGCTTCGGCTGGAGCGAACGGATCCGCCGCTAGGGTCGCGCAGCCCGCTCATCACACCGTCGCGGCCGCCGCTTCGACCACCGTCGACATGATCTACCGCGAAGAGGAGGTCCTCCTCAGCCTGCAGCTGCTCGCCTATCTCTCAAAGTACGCCCATGTCCGCACCCTCTTCCACAGCTCGGACCTCGCCAACACCAAGTTTGTCGGGCCGCTCGACGTGCTCAACGAGAATCTCAACATCTCCACCGACACGTCGCGGAGCTGGGATCCCTCAGAGACGCCGAAGCGCAACGTCTTCTCCGTCGCCGAAAAGTTCACGCTGCGCTCGTCTCGCAGCAGCTCGTCCCACCCGGCGCCCCGCCTCGCCATGGAGATCCAGTACTGGGCCGGCGTCATCATGCGCAACGCGTGCCGCAAGGACGAGTCACGTGGCGGCATCCGCCAGTGCGCCAACATGCTGTGCGGCAAGTGGGAGGCGTTCCCGCGCGAGTTTGCCAAGTGCCGCCGGTGCCGCAAGGCAAAGTACTGCTCGAAGCAGTGCCAGAGCAAGGGGTGGCAGATGGGCCACCGCTTCTGGTGCAGCTCTAGGAGCGACGACGGCGATGCGCGGGAGCGAGAGAGGGACCGCGGCACGCACGCCCATGGCGCTGACGGCCGCGCCCACCCGACCGTGGTGGCCGTTGGGGCCGTCGGGACGCGGCCGGGCGAGATCGGTTTCGCCGCCGGCCAGACGATGGACGAGGACCTAGCTGGCGCGGCGCAGCGTTTCGAGCCGCCAGCCGCAGGTCAGCATGCCACTGCTGCCCCTCTCCCTCATCACCACCATCATCACCACCACCATCACCATCACCACCATCATCACGCTGCAGCAGGCAATGACCAGCAGGAGCCGGCGCAGGCGGCCGCCCGATCGCCCGAGCGCTCGCAAGTCCCGTCGCACCTGCCCGGGCAGCAGCGTGCACAGGCACTCGGCCACAGCCACAACCACGGCCACGTGCAGCACCTCGCCTACAGCCAACTCGCACGCGGCAGGGACGAGACCGACGTAGCCCCATCAAGCCAACTCCACTCAACCGCTGGAAGTCAGCTCGACTCTGCCAGTCTCGAAGCGCTGAACCGCCAGGATCTGGACCAGATGACGCCGCGACAGGACGACCCGCCGCAGGCGTCTGGCTCTCAGCCTGGCTTTGCAGACAATCAGCCGCGAGCCCGTCGCCTGCACGAGATTGTCGGGGCGCGGGGACTGCCCTCGACGCTCGCGGGCGGCCACCTGCAGGACCGGCGTGTCTCGAGCCTCGCCAGCGTCGACACCATCGACGGCTCCGATTTCAGCGACGACGAGCTCGACCGGCGCATGGTCGAGACCGAGGGCATGCACCCGGCCGTGGCGGCCGCGGCTGCAGCTGCCGCCGTCGCTGCCGGTGGCCGCAACAGAGGCGCCCACGAGGTCCCCATCGTCGCGCCTCAGCGCACCGACCTGGCGGGTCGCCCTCTGCCGCCGCCCGTCATCGCGTCGCAGAACGCCGACGAGGACGAGCTGGCGCTTGGAGGGAGGGCGACTCCTGGGGCTGCGGGAGACCAGGACTTTGGCGACGGCGCCTTTGACCAGATGCTGGGCCACTGGGATCCGAGCCGGACGGTGGGCGGGATGGGGTTGCAGCACCGCCTCACCGAGGTCCGAGCCGAGATCCCGTCGCCGGACCGCTCGTCGTCGCCCGACGTTGGCGCGTCGCAGGACGAGGGTGCGCGGTCCGAGGGCCGCTCAGACGATGAGCTGCACGCGCCGAGGGCGCGGTACCACGCGCTCTACGGCCACCAGCAGCCACACTACTCGACCGCCTCGCGGGCTCACCAGCCGTTTAGCCACCGTCTGCAGCAGCAGCGGTCGATCAGCGGCTTTGCCACGCCCGTCGGTTCGGCGCCGCACTCTTTTGGATCTTCGAGCGTGGGTCCGTCTGCGCTCCATCCGACGCGGGCCATCATGACGCCGTCTCCGCTGTCGGCCAACCCGGTGCGAAGCTTCCGCGACGTCGACCGGGCGCAGATGCGGAGCCACGCCTCGGAAGACGACGTCGAGATGGCCGACCGCGTCGAGTCGGGCCATGCCAGGACGGTGTCGCACACGCCCACCACCGCCGGTCTGGATCGCAGGCAGCGTTCGGCCAGCACCGACCGCATGTCGAGCTCGCTCAGTGCCGCCGACGGCGATGTAGCCATGGACTACTGAGGCGGGGCCTGTGGACGTGTGCAACCTCGACCTCCTGCTCCTCACAGCCTTCATGTTGCTCGCGGAGCGCATCGGCCCTCCTTCGCCACCGACTGTTCCGGATTGTTTCTCACTTCTCCTGGCTCTATACCACGCGCGCACACACACACACCCCACACACACATCCACCGCCGTCGTCGTCGTCAGCAGCATCTTCATCATCATCGTCATCATCATCACCATGTCATCGTCTTAGTCCAATCACAACATCATCATTATGACCATCGAATCGACTCAGTACGATCTACATCCCGCCTCGATTCTTGCCGGGCGGCATGCGCGGATGCAGTCGGGGCGGCCTCGGGCCGAGCAGGTCGATGGCTCACCGCCGCAGCGGGTACGTCTTTGGATGTGGATACGTGATTGATGGATGCATGCTCTGCGCGCGCTTCCAGACTCGCTGCTGCCGGAGGTGACCATGTCGACGGGCAGTCACACCGGACCGACCGGGTCGATGGCGAAAGCAGGAAAGCGCGAGGGTAGGCGCAGCGCCTCGCCTCGAATCCGCGCGGGGATGTACTGCCTGCGACTGCGACAGCGAGCGGCGTCGGCTCTCCTCTCAGAACGAGGCGCGTCGATACAAGACTGATACGGGTATCGCCCGCTCTCTGGCTCTCTGAGTCTGAGTCTTTGGAATCGTATCGTGATTTGCGTGCTTCTGTCTCTGCCAGATCGAAGGGTAGGAGGCGGAACGAAGAGAGCCCGGCGGTAGGAGCAGCAAGCCTTCGCGATGACCGACGGACTGCGACACTTGGTCGATCCTTCCTTGCTTGCTTCGAGACCTGCCCGCCCCTGCTTCGAAAGCTGCGATTGCGGCGATTCGAGCTTCCACGGCGACGGCAACAGCGAGGGCTTCGGTGCATGCGATTCAATACCTTGGCATCCGATTGGGCGTGGACGATCGTGAAAGCGCACACAGGCAGGTCGGTGGGTCCAGGGCCCGTCGTACCAGAAGCCTTCTAGCAGGGCGCACATCGCAGGCTTGGCCTGGGACTCGGCCAGGAGGGAAGAGGGAAGAAGATTAAGAATAGCTACCTTATCTGTTCGGAGGGGAGGGGGCTTGACGTGCCAAGACCGGCGCGGACAAACAGTTCGAGGTCGTCTGATCTCACGGGGCGAGCGGAGGAAATGCAAGGGCAAAGCCTCCGAGAGGATCGACGGCGTGACAAGGGCCGTCCAATGGTCTGTCTCGAGCTCGGGCGACGGCGCGGGCGATCATGGCAGACACTTACCGTACCTACCGTTGCCGTACCACTTCCATACACGGACGACGCCTCGAACAGGACGTGCATGGCTGACTGTCGTGTCGGCGATTGAAGGGAACTCGATTGTGATCCAGCTTGCTTCCTCTTCGAGCCGGCCGTATGTATTCGCCGCGTCTGACCGCCTCACCCAGCACCTCCTTGCTCAGCGATAAGGGACGGGGAGGGGGCAGATACGGTACGGTCATAGCGCGGCGGCCCTTGCCTCGCTCACTTTCACACCACCCCGCCGCAACCGCCAGCTTGATGGGTATGCGCAAGCAAGGACGATCAGTTGCGGTGCAGGTCAGGGCTGCACCTTGGTCCCACCGCGTTGACTGCTTTGGATCGACGAGCGGCTAGCGGCGAGCAACGCGCGGGATGGATGGCTGGCTGTCTTATCTCTCGGCCTCTCTCGCTCTCGGCGTGCGGTGAGGTGCCCCGTTGTGGGCTCAACAGGGTCCACTCGCAGTCGCAGTCGCAACCTGTCCAGCAAGGCATCGGTCCAAAACAAACGACGACGCCGCTCACACGACACGACCACCAATCCGGGGCAGCTCGATGTTCGATACACACACACACACACACAAACAACACGGAGGACCGCGGGCATGACTTTTCACCGTGCCTGTCTTGGGGCGGCGGGCGGGGCGGGGCAAGCCACACGATGTCGATTTACGCCGACAGACCCGTGGTGCTGCGGGACGGACGGGCGGGGCTGTATGGGCACTACTTAGCTCTGGTACGGTATGTAGTCGCCGTTCCTCGGTTCGCACGCGGCAAAACCATAGACGAGAGGCCTGGCCACACGGCGCGTTGGCGCAGCGTAGAGGATCTGCAAGAGCTGGAGATACGAACCCGACCTCGTCAAGGCCAACCGACTCGACTCGCCTGCTTGATCGCGAGCGCATAACTACGCGCTATCGAGCTGTCGGAAAGGCCGACATGTCATGGAAGCAAGGCCGGCGACGATCACAGCGTACTTACTCCCCGTCGAGGTCGATGATCGCCGAAGCGAGAAGGCCACTGCAACTAGTTCGCGCTCAGGTCCCGCTATCATCACCGCGAGCCTTTGCTCGCTCGGTGGATGGGCTCCCTGTCCGACCCCTTATCGCCGCTCGATGGCCGCGTGCCCGCTTGGCCTGCCTCGAGGAGCGTCCTCGCGCTCGGTCTGTTTGCACCGTTCGTGTCGACGTCGTATCTACTCGTCGGCTACCCATCGTCCTCGCGCTCCTGCTACAGTCCAGGACCTACCGCGTCCCAGAACGCCGGTAGACCTGCCTGGCCTGCCTGGCATACGCTGTGCGAGCGTGGAAACAAAGAAGTCGACTAGCGCATCATTGTCGTCCACGCTCCAGAGTCTTATCCGTATCAGCGTCCCTCCTGGCTAGAACCAGCACCATGCTAGGCACCGTACCGGTCGGTACGGTGGCAGCAAGGAGGACCCTCCCTCCCTCTCTCTCCTTGCTCCAATCTCCCGTACCAACTCGTCGCGATCGCTCCCCCCCACCCTGTCTCTCTCCGAGCAGAACCGCACCTACATGGCGTCCACTGTCTGCCTTCTGTCCGTCGGATGGTCAAGAAGGTGGCGGCGAGATAGCGTTAGCTTCTCTCGCTTCGCTTTCAGCCAGAGATAGCGTACGGGGTCGAACGGGCGGTCGAGCTCGGTGTCAGTCACGGCTCGACGGTGTTCGGGTTCGTGTTGTGCGAGGAGACGAGTTCTTCCTCTCGTCCCATGCCGTGCCACCGCTTCCATCGGCGGATCGCCGTACCATGACAGGTTGAAGGCTACGTTATCGCCGCACTGGCAGGTGAGCATCGCAATGGGAAGGGAGCGGCGTGCAGTGAAGGCCGTTTGTTTGACCGTGAGCACCAGAGCTGGCGCTTGCGCAGCGCAAACACGCGCCTGCCGTCCCCCCCCTCCTCCTCGTCCTCCTCGTTCCCGCGCCGTTGCTGCCAGGTATCGCGAGTACACCGATGCTGAACTCTTCCTCACGGCGGCTCACCAGGGGCGGCGACGGCGAGGTCCAAGTCCCATAAGAGGCGCCTCGACCACGACCACTGACCTCCTCTCTCGCCTCATCAGACCCCTCCTCTTCTCTCCTATCCCCTCATAACGATACCTCTTCCATTTCCCCTCTCCCCTCCTTCGCAGCTACCCTTTCCCCCCTAACGTCCCAAAAAGATGCGCTTCTTCACCGCCACCTCGTCCCTCTTTGTCTCGGCGCTCGTCGTCGTTTCGGCCGTCAACGGCTCGGTGCTGCCGCGCGAGACCAAGGCGCCCAAGGGAGACATCCAGGTGATTGGCAAGGGAATCTGCCAGCTTGAAAAGGCGCTCGGCGTCACGTCTACCCAGGAGTTTGTCGACACCGCACTGTGAGTCCTGCCTCCCCCTCCTCGCCTCGAAGCTCGCGCGCTCCACGGTCCGAGGTTCCTAACTCGCACTCTCGCTCTCCACTTCTGGCGCCTTCTTGATCACCCGGTAGCGGCGGAGCGATCACGGACCTTGACAAGAAGCTGGGCGTCACTGCCGTCGAGGACGCCCTGGGTCTGCTCGACTGCACGCCCGAGGCCAAGCCCAAGAAGTCGGAAAAGGGCAAGAGCGACATCGAGATCGTGGCAAAGGGCCTGTGCCTCATCCAAAAGGGGCTGGGCATCACTGACCTCGTCGAGCTCGTCGACGAGTCCCTCGGCGGCGTCCTCTCCGAGGTCGAGGAGAAGCTCGGCGTCACCTACTTCGAGGAGCGCATCGGCCTCGCCGGCTGCTAGATGCTTTCTCATGGCCCAGATTGGAAAACGCTCAGAGTCGGGTGCGGGGCTGCGTTTGCATCTCGTCTTCTAGCCTTGCCCCCCCTTCCGCTGCCTTGTCTTCGAGCTGTTTCCTCGAGGTCGATGCGGTACGGGCAGTCAAGAGGACAGAGATCCGCCTCCGCCCCCCTTCGATCCCCTTTGCCTCCCTCGCCTTCTCATCACCGAGCTTCTTCCCTCTACCCGTTCACGTCCCCACATCCTCAACGAACCTCCCCCGTCCAGACCTCTTGGATCATGTGCCAACTCCCACTTATTTCCCCGTTGTCCTCCGTCACCCCGCCTCAGCCACCATCTATGTACCCGTGTTTCGTCTAATCTCTCATCCATCCCGTATCCTTCTTCCTCTCTCGCCCTCTGCTCTGCCACGCGGCAAAGAAGTAAAGTGGGAAATAAGAAGGACCTTGCCCGTGCCATTACAACGTGAACAATGTGGACGCCCACGGAGGTCTTATCGGAACGAAGAGGGTCACTGGGTCGGGACGTTGGTGACATGACTGCTTGGGGATGAGGGAGGGAGACGAGGAGCAAGGAGGGGACGGAAGCATATGCTACGCTCTCCTATCTACTCTCCTCGTCATACGGTGGCGTGTAGATGAAGGTCGAAATGGAGGAGAGGCGGTGAGAGGGAGGGAGGGGGGAGGGGGTGGCTTATGAAGCGATGAGGGGAGAAGGGGGATGTATCGTCCATGGCGCGCGACAGGACTGTCGAGCTTGACGGAGAGGATGTTGCTGACCAGTTACTGTACCATGACACGGAGGCGATGCTAAGGTGGACGAAATCGCCAGGCAAGGAACCGCCAACCTCGTCGGAGCTGACGCCTTAGGCCCTCTCGCGACGGAAGCCGGACTGCGACCTCCTCTGGGGCTGGGCGGCGGGGGCAGCGGGGGAGTCAGACTTGTTGCCCTGGTCGGCGGAGCCGCTCTGGCCAGGCTTGCAGTCGGCCTTGGTACCTACGCTGTTCTTGGTACCCGAGCCCGAGTCGCCACCCTTGGAGCCCGAGTCGCCACCCTTGGAGCCGGCGTCGGGGACGTTGGGTCCGTTGGAGCCAGTGGCGGGGCACTTCTCGGCAACGGCGGGTCCAACAACGCGGTCGCTGCCTGTCTTCAGTCCGTCGAAGACGTTGCCGTAGTCGTCGAAGGTGCCAGGCTCGCACTTGTCAACGTTGCCGTCGAGGGTGTTTCCGCCGATACCGCCCCAGGCGGCCCAGCAGGGAGGCCTGTTAAGGAACTTCCAGTCAAGGGAGCCCGGAGGCAGGCTGCCAGCCTTGATACCCTCGCTGCCGGCAAGCAGGCCAAAGGCCCTCTTGGAGAGCCAGATACCGTCGCATCCGGCACCCGGGCACTTGTCCTGGACGCGGGCCTGGATCTTCTTGCCGTTGTAGTTGACCTCGACCCAGGTGTTGCAGGGGAAGCGGGTGGCGTTGTCGACCGGCAGGTTCTGGCGGCCGGGGAGGGTCCAGTTCCAGTTGAGGCAGGCCGTCATCGAAGTGTCCCTGTAAAAGCCGCAAGCGCCAGGGCCGGAAGCAACATATTCTGAAGGAAGAAGGAATACACGCATCCAAGCGTCAGCTTCGATGTCATTCAAACGCCTTGACGGCTGTCTCCTCAGCTCCGAGGCGGAAGTGCAGCCACGGCAGACTGCTAATACTCACCGGCCTTGATCGAGTTGGTGAGCATGCCGGCGTGACCGAAGGGGTCATTGGGAGAACTGCCCTTGGTGCTGTCGCTGTGGTAGGCCTTGACGGTGGTGGGGTCGACGGTCTTGGGTGCGTGGGGGTCCATGTAGTCCTTGGTGTTGGGGTCGTAGCACGTGAGGCCAGAGTAGACGGCGAACGACGCGTTGTGCGCCGGTGCAGGCTGGTCGCTGCCGTGGCCCTTGGCGGCGGCGGGCACGGTGACGGCCAAGGTCATGGCCATCAGGCCGAAGAAGGTCTTGCCGAGCATGATGGTGCTGATGCGACGAAGGTGATTAGGAGGCTGGGGGTAAAGAGGAGAGGGTGAGGGTTAGGGGGAGGGAGGGGAGGAGTGCTAAGGGATGAGGAGACGGGAATGGAAGGACACCAAGCGGCCGCGTACTTATACCTTTCGAGGCCCCACCAGGCCCTATTGTCCGACGCGGCCCAGCTCCATCTGGACGATCGCCAGGCGGGAGCGTCGAGGGTGAACGATGAGCTGCGTCCAACAGCTAGCGCCACTGGCCGAACAAGCGCGCAACGGACCGAGAGATGCCGTTGAGGTGCGAGGAAGTGGGTCGATATCCGTTGCAACCGCGTCTGCTCGGGGCGCGGCCAGGACGGCGTCCAGCGGCGAGCTCGCTGCGCACGACTCGGAAGGTGGGGGAAGCAACCGTATTGTCGCATCGTCGTTGCCGTCCTGGCAAGGTTGTCGAGCCTGCGCGGGGGGGGGGGGGGAGCCTCTCCGGCGACGCGACGACGAGGTCCGGTGGGTGGGTAGTGACCACGACCGATCCTGCGCTAGACTCGTCAACCTTGTCGGCACCGCAATCCCGGCCGGGCCAAACTCGGAGTGCGAGTCGGATGCCAAGGCACAGACCAACGTACATCACGTACGTTGTATGTACCACGCCTCGCCTTTGCTGACCTTGCCAAGCTGGCGTTGCATGGAACAGCAGGGTCGGGGACGGCGCTGCCCTGTCTACGACGCCCGTCGTCTTCTGAGCGTGGTGCGTCCCTGAAACGCCCGCGTTGACTGTCGGTGCCATACCATTGTCGCGACGGGCCGAGAGGCCTGGACGACCGCCGCCACCGCTCAGCAGGCCCGCGGTATGTTTTTCGGCCCGGGCGATGCGCGGCGGACAATCTCGTTCTGTCTGTGGGTGCGGCTGCCACGCCGAGAAGAGGTTGTGTGGGTGAAGCTGCCTTTGCTTCTTCGGTCGCTCAGGATCCCTCCTTTGCGTCTCCAGAGGGGCAGAGATGAAGCGGCATCAGCAGTACGTGCAGTAGCGTGTTACATACCGTGACGCTGGCAACGACCGCGAAATCAGACTTTATCACCCACCTTCCGAGTGGGCGCAGCCGTTACGTATCAGCCCAAGCGATCGATAAATCGAGAGCGCCCAGTGGTCGGTGTCTCGGGCACCAGCAGCGTGTAGTGTAGATCAAGGTCTGGGATTCAGCGTGTACTGTCCAAGGGCTGCTGTAGGAGCAATCATCGGAGGCTGGTGCCTTCGCCGAGGTAGTAAGTGCGGCCGCGTCCTCCCTGCCCCACCTGTCCGAGCCCGGGTCCGGTCTTGGCCTCCACCACCTTTTCCACCTTGCCGGCGTCGATGCCCAAGCTCCTGGCCAGTCTGGAGCCGACCTTGGATCCGGGCCTGTCGATCTCCTGGATAGTCTCCTGGACCACGTTGGTCGGTTCCCGCAGGGACACGCCGGCCGTCGAGACCAGGCCGGAGCCGGACGCCGCCGCCGCCTTGCCGGTGACGGGCGAGATGGAGCCCGACTCTTCCGACACCTGCGAGGTGAGGCGTCGCGCGAGCGAGCGCGCACTCGACAGGCCGTTTGCGAGCAGATCGTAGTAGTTTGCGTTGGACACGGCGTGGACACCTGCGAGGAATTGCTCCTGTTCATAGTGGGTCCGGGCGGGCAAGCGGGGAGCGACATGGTGGGTGGGTCAGGTTGAGCGGCGACGGAGGCGATCCACATACTCTCCTCCAGGATGACGCCTGATCTCGGCAGCTCAGGGGTACTACTCACATTCCAACGCGCCTTGACCTCTTCGGTCACGCTCAATCTCTGTGGTGGGAGGTAAGCCGGGCGAAGCTTCTCCCTCGAGACTCTCTCCTTGCCCTCCTTGTCCCAGTTGTCCGGATCGATGTCGTCGAGCCTCATCTTGACATCGTGGAGCGCCAGAGCGGTGTCGTGGGTGCGGACGGCGATGGTGTGCCGGAAGGTGTAGAGGAGCGAGGTGGCCACGAATACGCCCGAGAGGGGCGCGAGGAGGACCCGAGTGGCCGCCATGGTCGACGTGTCGCAGTGCGAGCGAGGGAGGCGACGGTGGAAGACTGCGGAAGGCCGATGGGCGGGCCAGAGGCTGGGGCTGCGTGGCGCAGGTGATGCTGTTGGACGGAGGGAGATGATGTCGAGACGCTACGATGGAATAGACGGTCAGCGAGCGGCAGGGGTCCGTCCGCCATTTGAGAAGGATGTCAATCGCGGTCGTCGGACGGCGGCCAGCCCCGACAGCGTCCATCGCCCGCCCGCCTCGCCGTCGGCACCGATGCACTCCACACGCGGCCAGGGCACGGGCACAGCCTTGAGTCTCAATCAAATCGCCTCTCGACGCTCGGGTGATCGTCTGGAAGGTCTCCACCTCGTGTTGGTCTGGCTGGCTGCGGTATGGTCCGTGGCCCTCGTTTGCCTTCATCATCGCCATCACCTATCGCCATCCTCACAACTGTGCATACAACCGCACTAGTCTATCTCTTCTCTCGGCCAAGCTCGGATCGGAGCCGCAACACCGTACCGCCAACTCCTGTCTCGTGAACAAGCTTCGAGGGACCGCACCCTCGTTTGGCCTGGTCTCGGACTGGGTTCCGCGCCTCTCTCTGTCGCACCGCCTCGATTTCTGGCCGCCACCACCACCGTGCAGCAGCTCCTTCGTCGGACCTTCCGCCGCCTGTGCGCGCTCAGGTGGTCGTTACTCCCGCCCACCATGGCTGCCTTCAACCCTCTATCGATGCTGGCGGAGCGGACGTGCGCACCCATCTACAGCGCCATCGACACCGGCAACGCTCCGCTGGCCATCAAGCACGCTGACCGGATCCTCGCCGCACAGCCGACTCTCTCGCTGGCCAGCGCGCTCAAGACCATCGCCCTCATCCGCACCGGAAAAAAGACAGAGGCGAGCAAGATCTGCGACGAGCTCCTCAAGCGCGACCTCACAAAGGGTGGGGACGATGCCGCCCTGCACCCGCTCACCTGGTCCCTCTCGAGGCTCGGCAGGGGCAGCGACGAGGTCGTCCTGCTGGAAAAGGCTTCCAAGGCTCAGCCCAGCAACGAGGACCTCGCCAGGCAGGCGGTGACGGCCATGATCAAGCACAAGCAGTATCAGAAGGCGCAGCAGACCAGCTTCAAGATGCACAAGTCCTTCGACGGACGCCGCAACGAGCGCAAGCTCCGGTGGCAGTACTTCTGGTGGTCGATTCAGAGCTACATCCTCCTCTCGCGCCAGACGGGCGAGCCTGCCGCTGCGCTTGCGCTGCCGCTGTGCGAGCGGATGATCGCCAACCAAGCAAAGACGCAGCAGCCGCTCGACGAGGATGCCGAAGAGGAGCTCGCCCTGCAGCTCAGCGTGCTGAACAAGCTGGGCAAGAAGGCAGACGCCTTTGCCCTGCTGTCCGCAGCCGACTCTCCCGGCGGCAAGCTGTGCCAGCGAAGCCTGAGCCTCGAGTTTCTCCGCAGAGAGCTGGCGGAGGAGCTTGGCGAATGGAACTTCGTCAAGGATGAAGCGCAGGCGAAGCTCGAGGGAGGGTGAGTGGCGGCGCAATGGCCTTTGGAGGCGTAGAAGCATCGGACCAGCACTGACGTCTGCTCAGCCCTGCCGTCTCTCCACCTCTTCGTCGTACAGAAGCCGCAATTGGGCCCATGTGCTGGCCTTCATCCAGGCTTCCACCAGGATCGGCGGCGACAGTATCGAGCGGGCCTCTGACTTCATCGACTCGCTGGCGTCGTCGGCAACAGGCAAGCAAGACCGGTCGGCACGGCTGGCCCAGCTGGAGGTGCTCAGGGCGAGTCAGGGTGCGCCTGCCTCTGCAGGCGTCGAGACTTCGGAACGAGCATCTGACCTGATCGCACGCTACTTTGAGACGTTCGGTTCCAAGCCATGCTGTCACGAGGACGTGCTGCCGTACCTCATGCTGGTCTCTTCGGACCACCGGGCGCAGCTGAGCAGCAAGCTGGAGAGCAAGCGCAAGGCGCTTCCCGTCAAGGAGGAAAAGGAGCTGAGGTGGAACATCAACATCTCGAAGCTCCAGCGCTCCATCTGGCCCCGGGAGCAGATCACTCTGGAGCGGGAGCTTGGGCTCGCTGCCGACAGGCTCAAGGAGTACTTGCAGGGCCTCGAGATCGGTGAGTGGCCGGCGGGGCCGTCAACCTCCTTCTGTGATATGACAGACCGCCCTGAATTCCGTCTTGCTCACAACAAAGCTTTCGATTCGCCTGCTCTTGCGCATTGTAGGGAAGGATCTCCCAGACACCGAGATGCAACCGGCCGACGATCTCGCCTTGCTCGCATGTCAGTCGCTGGTCTCGGCGTGTCACCTGGCGCCTCGATCGAGGATCGGCATCCTCCACCGCGCCGTCACGCTGCTCGAATTTGCGTGCGGAAAGAGCAAGAAGGGCTACCAGCTGCGGATGCTCCTGATCCGATGCTACCTGATGCTGGGTGAGCCGGCAAGTGCTGCCTGAGCGCTTCGCTGTTGCATTTCGACTTCCAGGCTGACCCGCGCTTCGTCCCTTCTGCGTCGCGGCACAGGCTGCTACGATCGAGCCTCGATCCACTACAATCTGATCGGCATCAAGGTGATCCAGAACGACACGCTGTCGCACCTCATCAGCGACCGCGTCTCGACGTTTGGCGTCTCTGCGGCACCGGCGACGCCCAACAGCAAAACCTCGGAGACTGGCTTCAAGTTGCTCGTCAACAAGGCGATTGTCGCCGCCGAGGAGATATACGACGAGAACTCGCGGTCCACGCCCGAGATGGTCGTCAAGTGCCTCGAACACGGCACCTTTTCCCGGGTGAGTGCCAGTGGCCGTAGACGGAAGGCCGTGCTATCTGTGCGCTCGTGGCGTAGCTGACTTCCGTTTTGGCGGTGCCGGGTCCTCTGGCGTGCGCAGGTCGAAGAGTTTGTCGACTTTGGCGAGATGGTCGAGCGGTCGATCCAGCGTCAGGTGCTGCGTCTCGAGTCGGCACGGTCCAAGAGGCTCAGCCTGGCTTCGACCAAGGTGCCGGCCGCGGACCGCCAGCGTCTGACAGAGGAGATTGCATCGCTCACCGCTGCCGTCAAGCTGGATCTCGATCGTGAGTCGATCAAGGCGACCCAGAGCCCGCATACGGACGCGAAACGACATCCCGAGGGCACAGCTGATCGACCGCTCCTTCCCCGTTGCCTTTGACGCCTGTGCTCCCTTCCACGCTGTCCAAACCCCGCTGCTGCTCAGGAGGCTGCCACGACCAGCGGGACTTTTCCATCTTGCCCAACTTCCAGCCGCTCGAGACGTCGAGTATCATCGAGCAGACTTCGCTCGGCCCGATTGCAAAGGTGCGTCTGAGAGCTCTCCGGTGCTCTGCCTGTCTTGGCACCCATCTCCTAGCCTGGCCTGCCGTTCCGACAGCTTCTGACCCCTGTCCACTTGGCCCTGTCTCGTTCCGGCAGACTGGGTGGTTGAAGTGCATGCACCACCTCCACAGCCCCACCACCTTCAACGCCGCCACCGACAACGCACCGACCGAGGCGGATCGTGCCGAGTTGAGCGAGGTCGAGGGGGAGATGTACGACCTCGTCACGGCGCACCGCCAGGATAAAGTCGACGAGTTGGCCGTGGACCACTTTTTCAGCGGTACGTTCCGGCCCTCGCTTCCGGCCTCTGATCCGTTCCAGGTAAGCGCGACAAGACAGACTGACCGAGATCTCTTCCACGGTCACGGGGGGCAAACAGAACGACGGCAACGTATCGCCACGCTCCTCGACCCCGACAACGCGGACGGTACGAGGCCTTTTGACGTCCTCGCCCTGCTTTCAACGACACTCGAGACCTACTCCCTCGTCGTCGTCCTGCCCTCGTCCTCGACGGGCCCTGCATCGAAAGCGGAGGCGGCGAGGAGCCACCTCGTCGCGATTTCAAACATCGTCGACGACCACATCAAGGCGACGACGACGGCGACGACGGTAGATGGACACGCACAGGGACGGGGACGGGAGGATGTCTTCGATTCGGCATTCGCCTCTTCCCTCGACGACGGGGACAAGGTACGTTCGTTGATCCAGGCCACGCGCGACAATACGTCAAAGAGCCTCGTCAAGATCCTCGCGGCCTACCGAGACGCCCTCGGCCACGTCTAGGTGCCCGCCCAGCACACAGCCGCAACGCTCGCAGCAACAGCTACGGCAATCGAGATGCAGGTATAGAGCACAACAGGCGTCGGTCGTTCGTGATTGCGTTCTGTTTTCGTGACGGGAAGCCTTCCTTCTTCCTGGTATCTCTGTCCTCCAGGATCCCCGCCGTTCCGCCCGCCCAGAGGATTCGCCGCCGAGTGTTGGTCGGGTTGGGTGCGATGCAGTTAAAGTACAGACACAAAGAGGCGTGGGCAGCAGCGGGGCGGCTCGGCCGCTCAAGGCCTGCCGACGACCCACCCGCCCATATATGGCGGGGACTTTTGCGATAAGTCAAGAGAACAAGAGGGGGAGGCGGACAAGCACCCAAAGAGGCAGCTATGCGAACCGAGCGATAAGAGGAAAAGGGACGGGTGGCCGGAAGAAAGGGTTGGCCAACCAGGTATCAATCGCCTTCTCAGTGCTTCTCGGACACGGCGGCCACGTCGCCGAGCTGGGGCTGGACGGCGTGCGGGGCGTCGAGCTCCTCGCGCTCTCCGGCGACGACCTCGCCGGCGTCGAGCTCGTTGAGCTCGTCCTCCTGCGAGTCGAGCTTGCGGAACGAGTACCAGAAGCCGCAGCCGCCGACAAAGGCGATGACGGCAAAGACGCCGTACAGCCACTCGAGGTGCGGGTCCTCGGAGAGCGAGGTGAAGGCCTGCTGCAGGGCGGCGGCAATGGCGCTGGTGAAGAGGAAGGCGGCCATGACGAGCGAGCGCATCGACTTGGGCGCCTTGGAGTAGGCGTACTCGAGACCGGTGATCGAGGCAAAGATCTCGGAGATGGCGATGAGGATGTAGGAGCCCGACTGGATCCAGATGTTGAGCGGCGAGGGGACGTAGACGGCGCCGTCCTCGGTGCCGTCGGCGCCCAGGTCGGCGATGCCGTCGCCGTTGAGGTCGTAGCAGGTCGAGGCGTTCTTGCCGCACTGCGACGTCTTGTAGATGTAGTACTGGACGACGCAGGCCCAGACCATGGCGAACGCGCCGGTGAAGAAGCCGGCCGTGATCCTCTTGAGCGGGGTGAAGCGGAAGCCGGCCTTGCGCAGCGCCGGGTAGAGGAAGAGGTCAAAGAGGGGGATGAGGATGATGAGGGCGAAGGGGTCGAGGTTCGAGACAATCTCGTTGGGCAGGCCGTTGACGGTCATGGTGGCCGCCTGCGACGTGAGGTTGTTGACGATCTGGTTATAGCTGAGCCAGTAGAGCGGGAACCAGAGGAAGACGGTGCACGCCTTGAAGCCACGGCGCACCTCGTCGACCCAGGCGTCGTCGAACGTCATCCAGCGCGGCTTGGCCTCGCCGGCGGCGACGACCTTTGAGGGCTTGGCGCTGGTCCAGAAGTCGTCGGCCGTCATGTTCTTGGCCAGCTTGATGGGGTTGAGCGTCCAGCGGCCGCTGGCGGCGTACCTCCAGAGGCGGATGCACTCGGCAAACACGGAGCCCGTCGGCGGCGTCTTGACGTAGTACTTGTTGCCGAAGACGAGGACGGGGATGCAGAGGAGGAAGACGATCGTGGGCAGCGTGTACGAGAGCCAGAAGCCGACGTACTTCTCCGCGAACGACATGCCGAGCTGGCCGGCGAGGGCGCCGAGGTTGATGAAGAGGTAGAAGTACATGAAGATGCGCGACACGGTGAGCGTGGGGTCGACGATGACGCGCTCTCCGGTCTTGGGGAGGACCTTGACGGCCTGCTTGGTGCCGCGGACCTGCTCGGCAATCATGGGCGAGATCGACGACTTGAACCAGCCGGTGCCGACGCCCATGACGATGAGGGCGATGACGAAGCAGGCCATGGCGCCCTCGCGGTTGTCGAGGACGCTGGGGAGGGCGCTGACGATGAGGAGGATGTGGCCGACGGTGGCGATGCCGACGGCGATCGAGATGGTCTTGAAACGGCCCCAGCGGGTATCGGCGAGGTAGGCACCGAGGAGGGGCATGCAGTAGACCCAGAAGGTGTTGAAGGTGTTCATGCCCGAGGCAATCTGCTGGCCGTAGTTGAGCGCGCCGGACTGGGTGTCGGCGCCACCGGCACCGGCGCGGCTGCGCGCGGGACGGGGCTGCTGGACAAAGTTCTGGAAGACCTGCTGGCAGCCATAGTACGAGAAGCGCTCGGCCAGCTCGCAGAAGGCGATGGCGTAGGCGACCATGGGCAGCTTCTCGGGGATGCGGCGGAGGGTGGAACGCTCCTCGCTGGTGGGCGCGACGTAGTCGCCGTCCTGGACCTCACCCTTGTCATCGGCGGGCAGGCCGGCGCCGTGGTGTGCCATGGGGTGGACATCGTCGTGACCGCCGTGGGCCTTGACGTCGGCGGCGTAGTCGTCGCGCTGCACTTCTGCGACGCCGGCAAAGATGTCGTCAGTGACGTCGGCAGGCATGTTGGGCAGTGGCGGCTGTGGCGCGAAGGGTTGAGGAGAAAGGGGGAGAGGGGAGGAGGAGGGAGGAGAGGGGAGGAAGGGAGAGGAGGAAAGCAAGGCTATCGCCTGGAGTGGGGTCCGGAAGGAGGGGGAAAAGGGGAAATGAAGATGGCCGTGAGGTGAAGGAGAGGGGAAGGCGGGAGAGGAAGGCGCGTGGCGCCGGCGCGGCCTATATACCATATCACACCGAGGCAAAGGGCTGCGGCCGTTGCGCCGACGGCCATGTATGTACGACGTCGGCAAGGCCGGCCGAGGGCGGGGTCGGGGGTCCGCAGGGACGGCGACGGCGATAGTGTGCTCTGTGCAGGCCAGCACACGACCCAGGCCCGCGGTATCAGACCAATGGGGCGGTATCGCAGCAGCGAGGGCCGCCGGGGACGCGGGCGCGATACGGTTGTCGAGCTCGAGGCAGACGGGGGTGGCGAGGAGCGCAACCTTAGCTTCTTGCTTCTTCCTCTTCCGCGGTGGCCTGTTCCTGGCAGGCACGCTGGCCTACGGCCTCGGATAGGGCGGCAAGCTGACCGACAGCAGCAGCAGCAGCAGCAGCATGCTCGACCTCGACGCGGCCACGCGAAGACACACAACAGGCGATGCCTGGCGGCACCTGAAAGGGCCTGGGCGTGCGCCCTGCTTGCTCCTGGCCTCGCCCTCGCCCCTGGCCTCTGCTTTGCCTTCCGTCTTCTCCTCTCTTCCGTCGTCGGAAGGGTTCCTGCTGGGCTGGGAGGCCGGATTATCCGACAATCTCCGCGTTGCAAGAGGCGTGCGGACGGCGAGCCATCCGTGTGGCAACACCACCGTAAGTCGAGGCCGGTCTCGGCTTGGTCACGCGGCGGCCACATTGGGTTGGCTTCAGAAGCCTGCCTGCCAGAGAGTCTAAGAGTCTTTGCGCTAGAGGATTCGGCAATCACTCCGGTCCAACAAGAAAGCGGCTCAGCAGGTGTTCAAGACAAGGGGGGATGAGCAGAGGCTGACGGGTCTGCCTCTGCTCGCTGCGCCCAAGGTACCTAAGTAACCACCCGCGACACTCTTCGCCTCCCTCCTTCTCGGGCTCAGCCGACGCCCTCTTTGGTTGCTGGCTGGCCGTGAGGCGACGGGCTCCAACCGAAGTCTGTCCTTCCTGCTTCCTGCTGCCTGCTTTTCTGCCCTATCTTCTCTCCCCGCCTCTCCTGCGATGGCCGCGTTGCGACCTTTCCGCTCCTCGAGACGAGGCAGGCCGAGTTGGCCAACCGACCGCATGTTGGCGAGAAGCCAGCCAGCCAGCCAGCCAGCCAGGCCAAGACCATGCTCTCCTTGTGCGATACCGCGTATGCCATGAGGGCTGAGCCCGCCTCGCTTCGTCGCGGCCCTTCTGTGGGAGCTCACATGCATATGGTCCAGCGGCGGTGGTGGGGCTCGCTCCGACCCTTGCCAGCTTGCCAGCTGTCTCCTCTCTAACCTTGCCCTCTTAGCTTCTGCTCTGGGTTCATCAACGGGCGCCGCGCCAATTTCGTCACCCACAATGGAAGAGAAAGCTGCGAGGCCTCGTCCGGCAGCCCAACCGTGTCATTCTGCGGCTACTCCTGAACGACGGGCAATCAAGAACAAGGGCCAAGGTTGCCGGCCTGGCCTGGCCTGCCTGCCTGGTCTTTGTTTCTGAGCTCGGAGATTACCGCGAGTTTCAGCCCGCGGCTTTGCGCTTCGAGCCTTGATCATCGGCCAGAGGCGGCGGGTCAGCCCAAGCAAGGCCAGGCCATCACAGGTGGCCACAATTGAAAGCCTCTCTGACGCCTAAGGGTGCGATAGGAAACGGCTGGGGCTTTCTCGTGGCACAACACTTCGTGAGAGTGTAGAGTAACGTTGTCCTGCCCTAGCCTCACCTTTGGGATGCCAAAAGTAGCCCACCTCTGAGGCACTCTTTCCTGGCACACATACACGGCAGGAAGAAAGATGCATGCACGCTGCGTAAAGGTGTGGTCAGGTCGACGGCGTCGGCATGAAGCGAAGCTGTCGCCGTCGTCGTCGCTGTCGTTGTCGCCGTCGAAAGGCGGGCATCGGCGCTGCACTCGAGCGTCGCTTGACTGTCTTCCGGCGCCGGCGCCGCCAACGAACCTGCCTCTTTTGGGCCGCCGCCGCTGACCGCCCGCCCGCCTTGCCGCCTCCGCCGCCAGCCCATTATGACGATCTGGCATGCCGAAGCAAAGATCAGAAGTCCGCCGCCGTTTTTTTTTCCTCTCCTCGATGCAAACTCCGCTGGGCCGCCGCCGTCAGGCTCGCCTTGCCTTGCCTACCGTAGGCAGGCGTACGTTACCGCACGCACCGCGCGAGGACCGGGAAGCGTCCGCTGCCACCTCGGGCCCATCCCGACATCGCAGCGCACCGCGTTCGTGACCGCTTATCGACGTCTCGCACAGGCGATGAGACGACGTACGTCTTGTGCACATGGTCGTGCTCCTCGGTCGCCAACCGAAGCAGGCGCTTGCTCGTCACCATCATTCATTCGGCCTCGGCCCGAGTGGCGACTACATAGTTAGGCAGACCATTCGCCGGCCACGCCGCACCGTACCGTACCTACCACGACGCGACCAGGTGAGCGTGCTTGCGTGCTGTACCGACGTCGCTTTCGCCCAGCGAGGATCGCGGCGGTGGCAGGCAGGCAGGCAGGCAGGCCGGCCTTCTGCAGGTCAGACGCATGCAGACGGCCGCCGTCCGGCGAAATCGCCGGCACCTTTTTGAAATTTTTCTGCTGCCTCTCTGCCAGCTGGGCCGCGAAACGGCGGCTCAACCAGCGCAGCGCAGCGCCGCGTTGCTTGCCTGCCCTCGCCCGTTCCTGAGAGCTTGAGCCTGCCTGCCTTGCCCAACGCTGCCCTCGCACCAGCCAGCCGTGCCCTCGCTCGTTATCAAGGCGGTTTCGGCACACGTCGCTCCGTGTCGACACGGGGCGCGGTGGGTGGCACCGCGCACAGCGTGGAGCACCAGAATGCGGAGAGATGCGAGCCACGTTGCCCGCCCGTCGGGTAAGCATGATACCGGCCCCTGCGCCATAGGAAAAGTCTGGGGAAGGGCCAGGCAGGCCCGTTGAAAGAGGACGGCCAGCGAGCGAGGTCGAGGGAGGGAAACGGCAGGGGTCCCGAGGCCGGAAGGGAGCGGCTACGCGGGCTGCGGCTGCGGCTGCGGCTGCGGTTGTGCGACAGGTCCTACGGCCCTAGCCTGCGGCTACTTCTTGGCCTCCTCTCCATGTACCTTGACCCACCGACCCACCGGTCCCATCGGCCCATCGGTCCACCGAAGGCTTTTGTCCGACCTACGGCACGACCGCATGGTTCGCCGGCCTACGATTTGGAAGGAGCAGCTCCTGTACAGGCTCGCACGACGAAGAAGAGAGGAAGACAGGTTGGGCGGCGGCAGCGGCGGCGGTGGGCGGCGTTGGTCGCACAGCAGAAAGGCGGGCAGCAAACTATGGCGTGCTCGAGGGCGGCGCTGCGACTTGATTGGAGCACGACGAGAGGGCGCAAAAGTTCCGTACGAGAAGGGGAGGGCAGCCGAGGACCACTTCGGAGCCGCACAGAGACGCCAAGAGGTCGTGATCAGGGCACTCGGCCTTCTCCGAGCACAAGGGCAAGAAAGTGGAGCGTGCGGGCCACCCTTTGCGTTCGCATCTTGGCTGCAAGGACCGCCGTACCACCTCGACCCTTTCTCAACACCTTCCAACACCACCCGCTCGCCCTCGCCGACCTCTCGACCCGCAATACACCTAGATCCATTCATCAAGATGGCGCCGCTCCCTCCCGTCGACCTCTCTGCTCTTCCCGCCCAGTTTGGCAGCGCCGTCGAGGCCATCCGAAAGGCTCTCCCCAAGGAGCTCGCCAGCCCGCAGTGGGGCATCATCTGGTGAGGCAGCGAGTTCGATCGCGCGTCTGGGGATGCAACTCGTATTGACCTCGCTCTCGCTCTCGTCACCCTCGATCCTGCCTCTTTACACCGTGCAGCGGCTCCGGCCTATCTGGCCTGGCGTCGTCGCTCGAGGACAAGGTGGAGCTGCCCTACACCGACATCCCTGGCTTTGCCGAGTCGACCGTCGAGGGCCACAAGTCGTCTCTGGCCTTTGGCTTCCTCTCGCAGGCCGACGAGGCGGATGCGGCCAAGGTGGTGCGCGTCCCCGTCGTCGCCTGCTTGGGCCGCTTCCACACCTACGAGGGCCACTCTGCCCAGGCCTGCGTCTTCCCGGTCCGCGTCATGCGCTGTCTGGGCGTGAGCGCCGTCGTCGTCACCAATGCCGCCGGCGGCCTCCACCCCGACTTTGAGGTGGGCACCATCATGGCGCTCCACGACCACCTCTCCCTCCCCACCCTCACCAGCATGAACCCGCTCATCGGGTCCAACCTGTCGGCCCTCGGACCCCGCTTCCCGCCCCTCTCCAACGCCTACGACGTCGAGCTGCGCCTCTCGCTCTTCCGCGCCGCCCACCGCCTCGGCATCGACGACGCTTCCATGCAGCAGGGCACCTACGCCTACGTCCTCGGACCCTCGTATGAGTCGCGCGCCGACGCCCGCTTCCTAAAGACGGTCGGCGCCGACGCCGTCGGAATGTCGACCGTGCCCGAAGTCATCGCCGCCGCCCACTGCGGCATGCGCGTCCTCGCCATCTCGCTCATCACCAACAAGGTCGTCCTCAGCCCTTATTTTGACACCCGAAAGGCCCTCAACGACGAGCTCCGAAACTCGGCCAAGACCACCGACGCATCAGAGCAGATCCGGGCCGATAAAAACGAGGCCGCCAACCACGAAGAGGTCCTCGAAGTCGGCCGGATCCGCGCAGAGGACATGCGCAAGCTCGTCCAGTCGGTCGTCTGCCAGACTGTCCTCTAGGCCGCCGCATCGCGATCTTGCCCCCGACATTAGACTTTTTTGTGATAGAGAGACGACGAAGCCGGAATGGTCAATGCCAAAGTGTCACCCTGTCATCCTCCCGTCTAGACCGGCAGGATCTGATTGTGTCCGTGGCAACGCGTCGATACAACATCGTGCGTGGCAGGGCGGATCGGCATCAGCCCTTCGCTGCCTGCTACCGCGTCTCCGCCGCGCTACAGCAGACCCTGGCGCTTGAGGAGCTCGTACGTCTTGCGCGTGTACGTGTTGCCGTGCTCGTCCTCGACCTCCTCGGCGTCTCCATCCTGCTCGGCCTGCAATTTGCCCTGCTTTTTCAGCTTGTCCGCCACTGCCACGTCGAAGTGGGGAGGGTGAACCGTGCATGGACGCGCAAATCATGTCAGCACGATGCCGTCGTCACGAGCCTAGCGAGAGCGGCGCAGGCAAGGGCTGCGAGACTCACGTGCCAGCGCATCCTGGATCCTCGTAACGTCGCGGAACTGCACCGTGTTGGGCAGGCCAAGGGCGCGCATGCCAAACGCGTGCCGAGACTCTTGGAAGTGCTTCTCAAAGTTCTTCCTGCACGGCGTCGAAATGCACGGCGACCGGGCCGGGGTCACAGATGGAAGATGGGGGCGGGCGTGCGTCAGCGTGTGGACGACGGAGCAGTCGTGGGCTGGGCGCGCGGGCTAGTCGCTCACTCACCTTCCCTGGTAGACATGGTCGGAGCAGATCTCGCACTTGAACTCGACGCCGAGGCCGTGCAGCTTGTAGAGCCAGTACGGGATCGGCCGGCCGTCCCAGCCGAGCGGCAGTCTGAGCGGGTTGTAGATCTTTTCCTCGTCGTCGTCGTCTTCGTCGCCGTTGGCCTCGTTATCAAGGACACCGTCGCCGCCCGTGTTGGTCGCGGCCATATTGTTGAGCTCCTCCTCGGCCGCCTCGGCCTCGGCCTGCCTCTCTCGGTCCGTCAGCGCCGCTCGCCGCTCCACGTTGGCCTTGGTGTCGGCCCGGATCGCCTCGAGTTCCTTGCCGAGCGTGCGGATCAGCGTCTCCTCTCGCGCCAGCGACTTTGCCTTTGTCTGCCGCTTGATCCGCTCCATCTCGCCGTTGGGTGCCGACGACGGCGTGGAGCGACTGTCGCCCTCCTTTGCCTCACCGTTGCCGCCGCCAGCGGATGCCGCCAGCCGTTGCGCCGCCTTCTGGTGCTTGGGCGACTTGAGGTGGGCGTCGTAGACCGTCTGCTTGGAGTACGAGCGACGGCAGGCCTCGCACCAGATCCCATTGCCGTTGGCTGCGCCCGCTGCCCCTGCCGCGGCATCGCCGGCCGCCTTTCCCTTGCCCTTGCCCTTTGCAGAGGCGTTGAGGATAGCCTCGCCATGGTCCTCCCACCCAACGACCTTGCCGGCGTCCCAGTCTTGGTCGAAGGCAGCGAGCGCCGTTGCCTCGAGCTGGTCGATGTTGGAGAGCGGGTGGGTCTTGCGGAGGAAGTTGGAGAGGTAGCTGCGCAGCTCGAAGAGGTACTTTTTGTAGTCATCGGTGCGCTTGGCTTCGTCGGGCACCTTTGCGTCCTGTCCGGCCAGCTTGTCAAAGTCGTCGAGGTAGCGGAGGTAGGTGACGCGTTTGACGCCCTTGAGGTTGAGGAATGCGTCGTGGTGGAGGTAGAGGTCCATGTAGCGGCCCGCCATCTCTTCTCCGCTAAACATGCGGTCGAGGAAGTCGATGCCGGAGCCCGCCATTTCTGCGGCAGCTGCCGCTGCTGCGCCGCTGCTGCCTGGCTGGTCGCTGCCGCCCTCGAGGGCGTCAAAGTCGATGGCGAACGCATCGGGGATGGCGCCGGGGTACTTTTGGTGGTATTCTCTGATCCTGTTGAGCCTCGAGTAGAACTCGGAGAAGGCGTCGGAGTGGGAGCCGGAAGCCTCGGGTGCGGATGCGGCGGAAGGATCTGCAGAGTCCGAGTTGGCTGCGTGGGGAGCGGCGGCGGCGGAGGAGGAGGAAGAACCGTCGAGGTCGTCAAACTCGCGTGCCTTGTCGCCGGAGAGGTCGCGGTAGAAGTCGTCGAGGGAGGCGAATCGGTCCGAGATGCGATCGAGGATGTGTGATGCCTTGTGGGATCGTTTGAGCTTCTCCTTGTGGGTGATGGGGGCGGTTGACGAGGCGGACTGGATGAGGATGTCGACGAGGGCCTGCTGGTACCGCTCCGCCTCCTCGTGCGTCTGGCGGGCCACCTCAAAGAGCGAGGTGTCGGCCATGGTGGAAGGGGTCGGGTCGCGTCGCAGCTGTCCAGTAAATGTAGCGTAAAGGCGCGCTGAAGCTGCACAGAGGGGTCGATCCGAAGGCGGCGGTTGTGCTGATTGCGATGTTGGTGGTTGCCGCTGGTGGTGGTGGTGGTGGTGGTGGTGGTGGTGGTGGAAGTTGCCGCCAGGCAGCGTGTGGAGAAAGAGACGTCGGTGGAAAAGCAGGCGCGTTCCACGCTCGGGAGTCGGGCATCTGGGTGGGCCTGCGGGGCAGCAGCAGAGTGGCAGGCAGCCTGACTTTTCTGGGCTCGCGACCTGGCCTGGCTCCTTCCTGATTCTCCTCTCGCTTCTTGGACAACACCCACCACCACCGCAGCGCACCCCATCCCCATCCCCATCCAACCTCATCCCCGCATCGCCTCGCCATCATGTCGGGAATCAACGCAGGAGACAACAAGCTCGTCTTCGAGAGTAGCGAAGAGGTCAAGGTCGCACCCACGTTTGTACGTCGCATCCTGCCCCCAACTCGCCTCCCCCCGCCCATCATCCTTGGCCACTGACACAAGCGCTTCCTTCTCCTCCTCTTTTATCCCATCGTCGCCACTCGACAGGACTCGATGGGCCTCAAAGAAGACCTCCTCCGCGGCATCTACGCTTACAGTCAGTCGAGCTACAATGTCGATTCATCCTCGTCCGCTCGTCTCTCTCCGCTCCGTTCGCCGCCTGACCCCTCACCTTCCCCTCTCCTCTTGCCACTGGTCGCCTCTTACTCCCCCAGACTTTGAGAAACCATCGGCGATCCAGCAGCGAGCCATTCTCCCTATCATCCGCGGCAGGGACGTCATCGCACAGGCCCAGTCCGGCACCGGAAAGACGGCCACCTTCTCTATCTCCATGCTCCAGTCCATCGACACCACCCTCCGCGACACCCAGGCACTCGTCCTAAGCCCCACACGCGAACTCGCGACACAGATCCAGAGCGTAGTCCTCGCCCTCGGCGACTACATGAACGTTCAATGCCATGCTTGCATCGGTGAGTGGCGTGCAAGCGGGGAGCGGTCGTCCTTGCTGCTGTCTAGGACAATGACTGATGTCCATGCCCACCCGCTCGCCCGCCCGCCCTCCCGTTCGACCGTCGACAGGAGGGACCTCGATCGGCGAAGATATCCGCAAGCTCGACTATGGCCAGCACATTGTGTCGGGCACGCCCGGACGCGTCTTTGACATGATCCGCAGGAGGCACCTCCGCACCAAAAACATCAAGATGCTCATCCTCGACGAGAGCGACGAGCTGCTCAACATGGGCTTCAAGGACCAGATCTACGACGTGTACCGCTACCTGCCGCCCGCCACCCAGGTCGTCCTGCTCTCGGCGACGCTGCCCCACGACGTACTCGAGATGACGACCAAGTTTATGACGGATCCGTGAGTGTCGACCGGCATAGCGGCACTCGGCCTGCTCCCCGACTTCTTGCTATCAAACGCTGACGCCCCCGCCCCTTTCTCCTACCCGCGATCCGCCGCCCGCCCTTCCGCAGGATCCGCATCCTCGTCAAGCGCGACGAGCTGACGCTGGAGGGCATCAAGCAGTTCTTTGTCGCCGTCGAAAAGGAGGACTGGAAGTTCGACACGCTGTGCGACCTCTACGACACGCTCACCATCACCCAGGCCGTCATCTTCTGCAACACGCGGCGCAAGGTCGACTGGCTGACGGAAAAGATGCGCGAGAACAACTTCCAGATCAGCAGCATGCACGGCGAGATGCAGCAAAAGGAGCGCGACGCCATCATGAGCGAGTTCCGGCAGGGCTCGAGCCGCGTCCTCATCACGACCGACGTGTGGGCCCGCGGCATCGACGTCAGCAACATTTCCCTCGTCATCAACTACGATTTGCCCAGCAACCGAGGTGGGTTCGCAGAGGCGGGGCGGGGCGTCGGTTGCGCCATGCCCCTTTGCCATGGCTGGAGCTGACATTCTGCGCGGCCCGTCTGTTGCCGGTTGCCTCCCTTTTCGTCTGGCTGTCCGCCCGCGCAGAAAACTACATCCACCGCATCGGCAGATCAGGCCGTTTCGGCCGCAAGGGAGTCGCCATCAACTTTGTCACAGTCGAGGACGTTGTAAGTTCCGGCCTCCCCCCCCCCCCCCCCCCCCCCCTCCCCCTCGCCCCCGCCCCACCATTGGCGATCCAACGCTGCCAGACTCCTGACTTTGATCGTCCTTCCGCCCGCAGAGGATTCTTCGAGACATTGAGCAGTTCTACAGCACCCAGATCGACGAGATGCCCGTCAAGCTCGAAGATATGCTCTAGGCGTCGCGTCGCTCCGCCTCCGCTCGTCACGATGTCGAGCTGGGAGCCGCAGTCCTCCGTTCCGTTCACCCTTGCAATACCACGCACGACGCCACGCACGTCTTTGCCTGATTGGCTTGATCGGATCGCACCCATGATCAAAAAGGGGGGGGGGGGAGGGAAAGCGAGGGTATGTATGTCATTCGCACACGACGGCGAAGGTTGGGAAGGTGTATGAGGGAGCGGGGCGGGATGGGGGGGAATGAGTGTACTTGTACAACGAACTGCTCGATTGGCGGATATAGGCAAGGAGGACAGTGCGGAGCAGCGCAGGCAACGCGGACGCGGACGGCCAAGGTAGGTCGACGGAGCGGCCACAGAGAGAGTGAGAGAGAAGAGGAAACGAGGAAGGCGTAGGGACGAGGACGGCTCAGACGCGTCGCGACGAGACATCGACGAGGGCCGCTGCGGGCAGGTGGACGGCCTGGTCGGGCAGGAGGTTCTGCGCCGTCCGCGGTCTCGAGCCAAACGTGGCCCGGGCACGCTGGGCCATGCTGCCCGACTGCGTCAGAAAGAGCGACGACGAAGCGGCAGCGCCCTCCCACACCTCTTCCCTCGCTCGCTGCTGCTGCTGCTGCGAGTGTTGCTGCTGCTGCTGCAGCAAAGCAAGGTGGCGAGACGGAGGCGATGGTCGTTCATGCTGCAGCGCCCCGCGGACCGTTTCGACGGGAGGGTACATGGCTGCTCCCCACGCGTCGGCGGTGAAGGGTCGGCCCTGCTCGATCTGGACGCCTTCAGTCGTCCGGCTGCGCTGCCGGCCCATCGCGGTGCCGGCGTGCATCGCGGCGGCGGCCGGCGACCGAGCGTCGTCCTGCTGCCCCGCATGGGGAGTGAGGACGAAGGTGCCGTGCGAACGCTGCGGCCGCAACGGCCGTTCCGTCGCCGTCGATGCGACGCCGCCGACGACGAAGCGCCCTTCCTCGCGCGCCAGGTATTCGAGCTTGATGGCTTCCGACGCCGTCGGCGGACGCGAAGACGAGCGCGTAGCGCCGTGCGAACGCGTCTGGCCCGTCGTCACCCGGCGCTCGTCGGATCGGGCAGCACCCGCGCTCGACGCCGTCGGCGTAGCCGCTGGCGAGGCGACGTCGCCGAAGTACTGTCGAGGCGAAGAGGACGACGAGGGTACCGTCGCCGCTGACCTGATAGTCGCTGCTTGGTGGGCCTGGAGCTGGGCCGGGTCGATGCGCGACCGCTTCTGCAGCTCCGGCGGCAGGCTGATGGGGATCAGCTTCCGGCCGCCAATCATCCGCGGTGGACCCATCGTCTGGATGCCGCCATGGCCGCCGCTGCTGCTGCCACTGCCGCTGCTGAACGACGCCTTCTCCTGCAGCGCAAGGCTCGACTGTCGGATACGCAGCGTGGCACCGTCCAGGCCGAGCTGACCAGCAGGCGACGCATCGTGTCGCCCCTGCTCGGCAGCAGAGAGGTGCCGACGCGAACCCGTCACGATCATTGTCTCCTCGCCCGTCGTGGGCAGGCGAACGAATTTGGACGAGACCGGCGAACCGTGCTGGCGCGATCGGTCCGAGAAGGATTCGATCCTGCCGTGGCCGGACGAGAGGGGCGTGATGGGCTGCGAGGCCGAAAAGACGCTCGAATCGGTCGACGAGATGCTGTTGGCCGACAAGGGCGCCTTGGACGTCGCGGGCGTGCCAAGGAACGATGCATGGCTGGCCACGTGGCTCAGCTCGAACCGGTGTCGCACCGACGAGGGCGAGGCCATTGTCTCGCCGTACGAGGGTCGGCTGGTCGTCGAGGCCTTTTCGTTTGCCAGGTACTCTCGTCGCAGGCTCGCTTGCGAGCGATACGACGACGGCGGCGACGGCGCGTAGCCGCCTGCGACGGGGGGCAGCTCGTGTTTTGACGACGCGGGCGAGGCTGTGACCGACTTCGAGACGAGGTTGGGCACCACCTGCTTGCGCAGGCTGGTTAGGATGCGCGACTTGCGCGCACGGGCCGGGTCGAGCAGCGTAGCCGAGCACGAGAAGCTGACGGGGATCAGGAGCTTCTCCCCCGCCGCCGTGGCGTGGTCCTCGACGCGGTAGACAAACTTCCACGCCAGTTGGCCCTTCATCTCGTAGCCGCCCACCTCGTGAACGCCGTTGGTCTTGACCATGAGGGCCGCCTGGCGCGTGAGCAGGTCCGCCTTGGTGTCGTCGCCGATGGTGAGGTGCTTGAGGATCGGCGGGGAGCGCTGGCTCGACGACTGAATCGGCCAGAGGTGCTGGTGGATCTCGTCGCCCTGGCCAAACTCGAGCGTGCCCACCTGGCTCGCCTCGCCGTCGCGATCCTGCCTCGACTTGGGCCGCCTCGGCGTGGCCTGCTTGGCTTCCGGCTTGCCCACCAGCGCCTCGGGGCTGCCAAAGGGATCGTAGCTGAGGTACGACATGTTGACGTGGGTCAGTCGCTGTCCCTCCTGGTCGATGTGCAGGGTGAGACCAGAGGTGAGGTAGGACGCCCAGCCTCCGCCTGCGCTGCTCTTGCCCCTGGAGCGGCCCGGGCTCTTGGGCGTCGACGGCACCGAGGGCGAGGCGCTGGTGGCCGACTGCAGCAGGATCGACCTGGCAGACGACTGCGCCGAGCTCGCCAGCGTCTCGCTCTTGCTGGGTCGTCTGGCCCGCATGATTGGGGCCGCTTCGACGTCGGTCCGCCTCTCGGTCGCTCGAGGCGCCGGTTGAAGCGACACTGCTCGATCCGCCTCGCCCAGCGTCCTGGAGCGAAAGCGACCCTTGGGCTTCGTCTCCTGGCCATTGATCTGCGCAGTCGAAGGACGCGATGTGAGCGCGCTGGGGAAAGAAGGGAGCGCAGGCATATCGCCCCCGAAAAGCTTCCATGGCGACGTGGGCCGCAGCTTGGAGGTGGACAACGCCCTCGATCTCAGGCGCGACCCAGTCGTTGATGGCCGGCGAAGTTCGGGAGAGTCGAGGATGGTAGGAGCGGGAGGCGATCCTCGCGTGACGGTCTGTGCTCCGTTGCTGTCGAGCGACAGGGCCTGCGACAGTGCGGCTTGGCTGGTGAGTGGCCTTGATATCTTGAGCGGCGTCGGAGGGCCCTTGACGGCCCGCCTGGGCGAAAAGCCATTGGGCGATCCGTCGCGTTTGGCCTCGGCGGTGCGAGGTCGGCTGGCGTGCCTGGAGGCGAAGCCGCGGGGCGAGTTGGGTCCGGACAGGCTCGGCGAGCCGTGCGGGGAGAATGAGGGAAGGGAAGGCAGCGAGGGCAGGTCCTTTCCGTCGTCGTCTTCGACGGCGCTGCCAAAGTGAGGCGGCATCTCTCTTGTCGGCGTGTTCTCGCTCGGATAGAGGCGGCCGTCGATGGCTGCGGCCATGGAGACGTCCTTTGCCAAGGTCGCGCCAAACAAGTACGACGGGTGCACCGAGTCAGAGGGCTCCGGGTGCACCGAAGAATCCTCGGAGCTGAGCCGATCGGATCGGTGCGAGTCCGAGCACGAGGGCATGCTGTCGTCGTGCGAAGCATCGCTGAACGCCGAAGAGGGCACTGGCTCAGGCCGCTCCACGGGATCCACCAGGACAGGGCTGATCGGCCTCTGCGGATTGGAGCGGTCCGACTCCATCGAGTAGTCGGGCTCAAAGTACTGCATGGCGTGGGCGTAGAGGTCGGGCTTCCTCTTTGCCCTCTTCGAACCGCTGTGTCGGCTCGTTCCGCCGCTCTCGCTTGCTCCGTCATGGGCCCGCACCTCTGGCTCCACCGTGTGGATAGCGCCGGGGACGCCCGAACTCGCCGCGCCTCCTGGCCGTGTCGCCGAGCTCGAGGTGATCAGAGGGCTCTGCTCGCCCATCAGCCCGCTGCCGGACGAGACCGAGACTGGCATGCTGGGGACCGACACGTTGCGCTCCTCGCCTGCCGGTCGGAGGTGCCCGCCGCGCTTCGACTGGATCGACGCGTGGAGCGATGAGGACTGTGAGGATGAGGCTGCCATGCGTGGGGGCGAGTCGTGCAGTCGGCCCCTGCTGTTGCTGCTGCCGCTGGATGAGGTGGTGCTGGTGCTGTTGCCGCTGCTGCTGGCTTCGGCGGCGTCGCCAAAGTAGCGGCGGTCGCGGCTAGGAGGCGAATCGTGCATACGCGGCGCCGACGGACCTGGCGCGTCGAGCGAGTAGTCATAGTAGCGCTCCTCTGCCAGGCTGAGGCTAGGCCTCTCGAGGTCGATCGAGCAAGGCCTCGACGAGCCCGGCCCACCAGAGAAGCGCGGAAAGCCATCGGTCCGGCTGATGCGACCGCAGCCGCTGAGCATGCCATTGCCGGCCTGACCCGGCCTGGCCATGCGGGGATCAAGGCAGAACGGCACATCGGCAGAGCTCCAGAGCGTCGAGATGCTGTCGGTCCTCGAGCTGCCCCGGACCATCTCTTCGGCCACGGGCATCCTGGGCGCAGTCGTCCCGTCTGGGGCGTTCAGGCGTCCTGATGACGGCTGGTGAACACCAAGCGGCGCTTATCGGGGCAGTCCTAGATCCTCGCTTCCATCAATGGCTGCGAAGGTGACCAGGGGCGTGGTTGGCGCTGAGGATACGTTGGTAGTCGAGCTGTCGGCCTGGATTTGGAGTCGGAGAGGTTGCGAGTGTCGGGATGCAGAGTAATGTGATGGAGGTCGACGTGTGGGTATTGGCAGAGAGTTCGGAGAGGGCTGCAACGAGGGCAACGGGGAGAACGCAAATGGATATATGAAGGTCGCCCAGCGGAAGGTTGAGAAAGAGCAAGCGGTGGACCTGGCTACCGGTAGCAGGGGTGAAGCTTGAGTCGTCTAGAGGAGCCTGACGATGTCGATGGCGCGTTGCTCGAATGCAGGCCCGGGGTGACCGGCATACCAATCGTCGCCGTCGTTCCTGGACTTGCACGCGGCGCGGTGTCAGGGGCCGTCGACGTCGCAGGGCCTAGAGCAGGACAAGGAGCAGGCAAGCAGCAGGCAAGCAGCAATAGATCCACGGACAACAATGGTCCGCCGTGGTGGGTAGGTGGCCGAGTTGCAGGGCTGCGAGGTGCAAGCCTGAGGTCCGAGCGATCAGGTGTCGGGAGGAGGTGTGGGGCGGGGCTGGGCTCGAGGCGGGCGGCAATGGACGATTAGGGTTGACAAGAATGGCCCTTGCTTCCGTGGCACTTCGTACTGTAGCTGTCTCTCTGCCCTTGTGCGCTGCACGTGGGACTCGAGCCAAGAGGCCTCGGTGAGGGTGTCGAGGATTGTCCTGGCTGGGAGCCCGGGGCAGCTTGGCTGGCGGTGATGTGGCAGGCTGGTACGGCAAGATGGTATGCTGGACGTCGTAAAGATAGCCTTCCTTCGGATCGGAGCGGGCGTCACGCTCGTGCTCGGCGCGTCCAGGAGTGGAAGGTGAGGCGGTGTCGAGGCCCAAAGGGGAAGCTGTCAAAGCGGGCTATCAGGGCGACAAGTAGGTACGTCGGAACGAACGAAGGCGAGGATGGCGAGCCCGAGAGCCTGCTGGGAGCGACGTCCTGATGAGCCTTCCAGAGGCCAGAGTCAGAAGCGGTAAGCGGGGACGTTGGAGGATACGGGAGGATGATGGGGACGAGAGGCAGTGTAAGATCGCTGTCGAGGCAAGGGGGCCAAGGGCGAAGGCGAGACCGCGGCATCGCTGGTCAGTGAGGCAAGGGGGAGCGACGGTCTGTCTCGACAGCCAGAGGGACAGAGACAGGAGAGCGGCATGAGGACCCTGGTTGCACCGGAAAGGGGGCCTTGGAATGGTGAATGGACGAGGGTATCACACGAGGGAGCGGCCCTCTGGCGGCCTCCCCTTCCGTGGCTTTGGATGCCGTCGAGATGGCCCATCCTATAGCGCACGCGGCGCTGCGTGCTCCTCGCCCCTCACATTTTCTTTATGCCTCCCTCCTGCCTGTTTCGCAGCGAGGAGGCGAGCACCCGCAGGTGAGCTCTGAAGCGGGTAAGCTTGAGAAGACGAGTGTGGAGAAGCCGGTGTGCGTCGTCCCCAAGCGGTCACGGCTGCCCCGTCGTGGCCTTTGCGTGCGAGCCTGCTTGCTTGCTTCTTTCTTGCACCCTTCCCTTGCGTCTGGGCTGCATCGCTTGTCGTGTTTCATCTTGCCTGCCTGGCCTGGCCGCTGGCTTCTTCGAGAGTAGGTAGGACTGCCACCGCGGATGACCTGGCTGAAGCTGAGGTGCCTGACCTGCCGAGGGAGAGGGCCTAGTGCAGGAACGTCGTTGCCGAGATCCTCAGCAGCGTGGTCCCGAGTGCAGCGGCACGCGCGCGTCGTTGGGCCTGCCCGTGCGTCCTCTCCTTCGTCCCTCAGAGACCAAAGCCCGCCCGCGGAAGCAAGCCACGGCTCTCTCGCATGGCCTGGCCTGGACTAGCCTGACCGCCTCTCTCTTGACCAGCCCTGCCCATAGCCCCTCTCCGTCTGCGCGTAATGAAGGTCGAATAGTGCTCGCAGCGCGTGTGCTGCGAGAGCGAAGAGGGCGGAAAGAGCAAGTCAGAAGGTCAGGCAGGATGGAGGAATGGGCGGATCGGCACAAGAAGAAGAATGGCGATGAGAAGGTGTCATGCACGGAGTCGTGGGTGAAGCGCGGATCCCCGCTGATTTTTTGGCTTGTCAAGGAGGGCGCGGGCAGGCGGAGCAGCTGCTGAGATTTGGCGTCCAGCCCAGCCCAGCCCAGCCCCTCTGGACAAGCAAGCAGGCAAGCAAAGCAGCTGCAGATGATCCGTCCCCCCCCCCCTCCCTGGCAGGGGGATGAGTTTTCAAGCCGCGACCCACAGAAGAGGCTGGCTGCGCATTCGAGCGCGGCGCAGTACGCTCGCTGCAAGGCAAAGGCAAGAGGCAAGTCGCAGAGGGCGTCTTCGCGCGTCCACCGTCAGGCGCATCGTGGTGTCGAAGAGGAAGAAATAGAGAGTGCACGCTGGCATAGGTAGCTTTAGATCTTCGTCGTTCGAGCTCGAGCTTTAGCCGGCATCGGAAGCCGTCGGAGTTGGCCATGGCCAGGCAAGCAAGCAAGTCGAGCACGATGGACACGTAACGCTGGCAAATTAAGCGCGAGTCCGCCTACCTCTTCTGACGCCGGAGCCCGGGTGGGACATGTGTCCTTGCTTGCTTGCCGGCCTGTCCTCACCGTTGCCTTGGGGCTCGACACGACGCCTTCGTCGACCGACTACAGCCGCGCTGACGACCATCCGATTGCTGCGACGACGAGCACGGCGGCCGATGGGGAAAAGAACCACAGATCAGCAACCGCACCGATGCCGGCACACGAGGGGGGCCTTTCCTTGTCTTGGCTCCGGCCAAATCAGAGAAAAAATGCCTGCTGCAAGGGAAAGGAAGGGGGTCGTGAGATCGATTCGCCGTGGCCGTCATGCAAGCAGCGCACGGCAGGGCAGGCCAGGCCACCACCATACCGGATCGGCTGCCCTCTTCCCATGCACACAGAGCATCTCGTCCGTCTGATCTCCTGGGGCTGGCCCTTTTCGTCTCGACTCAAGACGAGCGTGGTGCCAGCACCATGACAGGCCGGACCGGGCCGCCAAGTCCAAGGCGTAGGCTCGGTTCCGGTGTCGCTTCCTTCGTGGTACGGTACCCGTCGTCCGCTATCCTTGGTCCCGAGACCGTAGGTCGACCATTGTCCTCGTCGAGCATCAGACAGAGGCACAGCGAGGGCTAGGGTCGAGTCGATGGCAGATCAATCTGTTCCTGAGATCTCGTCAGGTCGCCTCCCCGAGTCCATTCGAGAATGGCATCCTGACCCGTCCCGTTCCCGTCGTTCCATCGGCTAGGGCAGCGTAGAGACCGAGGCTCGGATCCGCTCGTCGGTCGGCAGTCCGTCGTTACGAGTGCGGAGCGGCGCCACCGTCGTCGACTGCCGGCCATTCCGCGCAGCTCCCTCGGATGCCGCGACAAGGGAGGCCCACAAGGGAGGCAGGCGTCTGCCCTTCCACCCCGCTGTCCACTGGGCAGAATCAAGTGCGCGCGCTTTCGGCGAAGGCAGCCGAGGGTGCTGGCTCAGCAGCGCCAGATGTGGGCTTCAGAGGTTCGAGAGAGCGGTTGGCCAGCTCGACCACTGCCGCCAGACGCGTGTAAGAGGTCCGGATTCCCGCCCCCAGGACGAGGACGAAGAACGAGCCTGCCAAACGGTCCCGCAGCAGGCGGCTGAGCATGATCCCGGACAGAACGGCAGTGCCCTGAGCGTCTCAGGATAATCGTCAGGGAGCACAATGCCAGCTGAGTCGCCGCACGAGCGGATGCCTCCCTCTTTGGGCGCTCAAGAGGACCGACGATGTCATCGTGGCACAAGCAGATCCCAGAGCTAGTGCGCCTGGCTTCCGTGTCCACCTTTCGCAGATTCCACCACGCCACCTGCTTCAGGAGCAAGTGATCGGCTGGGTGTGCTACCAAGCAGCGGGTTTGATCAGACATGCCGAGACCCGTCCAAGTTGCTTTCGAAACATCTGTGCATTGCTTCCTAGTCATCCCGACGCAGACTGCGACGACAGGGCTGGGCCAAAGCGCTCCGCAAAGCCATGTCATCGCATGCCGCAGCCGAGCTGCATGACTGTGGAGCTGTCAAGAGATGGGGATATCGTCGTTGCGACCTTTACTCGGAGTCCTCAGAGAGGTACTGTTGAAGGGATGTCGGGAGGAGCGTGAAGGGAGTCGGGTCAGGCACAACGCTTGGAGAGCAGGCAGGACGATACGATGCTGTCTCGCCAGAAAGCGGGATGCTCACCTTCGATCGGATGTCCTTCCATTGTTTCTGCGGGCACAAAGGACAAGGGAGGAGGGAGAATGTGTAAGCGGGACCCGATCTCATCCAGACCGAATACCGCTCCGGAAGTTGGCAGCAAGGCATGTAGGGCTCGGCGACCGGGACAAGGCGTCGGACAGACGGTCGTTTGACGTCCAAGCTGATCCCGGACCGAAGGCCGCACTGTCCGACGTGGCCGCCGTCTGTCGAAGGAGCCTGGTCGCCTCTGCTCGGGTCGTGTCTGCAGTCCGACCTGTGCCCGGAGCTGCCCCTTCAACGCATACTCACGCCGCGGTTGTGGGCGTCCCACCACTTCTGTGTTGCGACGTCGAAGCCGATGCCGAAGGCGAATGCACCGAAGAAGATGGTTCCGACGCTGTCCGGCGTGGGAAGGTCGAAGTCGAGTCCGGCGGTCGGGACAAGTCCGAGTGCGAGCGAGCGAGCGTGTGGGTGCGTGCAGGGATTTTGCCAGGGCGAGAGGAAACAACGCAGAGGAGAGCTCAGTTAGTCGATTGCTCAGAGCAGCATAGGCAGATCGGCCATCGCCGTCATCGTCGCGATCCTAAGGTTCCCAGGTCGCCGGCCAGGCGCCGCCGTGCGCCGACTCACAAGACCGAGTTCCTCTTGAAGACGGCCTGGTAGACGGTGTTGTAGACGGACATGGTGGGTGACGGCGGATGAGCTGGCGGTGCAGTGAAGTGAGGCGAGGTGAGGTGGACGTGGTGGTCTAGGTGGTGGCGATCCCGAACGGTGGTGTGGAGACGGCGCCGCAAGTGCCAGTCCCCAGCGCCCCGCTCCGCTCCAGCCCGACCAAGCGGGAAGCATCTTCCAGCCAGCCAGCTCCCAGCGTTGCCGAGATTTCAAATCGTGCTCGGAGCCGCCCCGAAGATGAATGCCGGGCTCCGCGATCACCCGTGCCGTGCCCTGCTTGCCCAGCCTTGCCTCCCGATTACTACGGCCGAAAGAAGTGCTCGGGCACTCGAGGTTGGGTGACCCGAAGCTAGGCAGGCATGGCAGGCTCATGCAGGGACCATGCGCCGCTCAGGGGCTTCGCCTGCCCGGGGCCAGGTGGGGGCGCGGTGGTGCGCAACTCCCACGTACTCGACGCCGCCGCGGCCTCGCTGGATGTCACTCAACATCAATCGGCCCTGCCGTCCGCCACCAGATCTCGTCCTGTAGGATCGCAGGGCAGGGAAACCGCGCTGCTACGTACCTTCACCACCTGCTGCTGCACCTTGGCTGCTCTCGGCCCCACAGCGCGCCCTCGCAGCATTCACGTCTGAGCGACCTCGGCCGCCCACCTCGGCCTGCACCACCATCGTCCGGTCGCTATTGAAGGCACGATAGGGGGCTCGATCAACTGCTGCCGTCTCGAACCTCGTGCTTCGACATCGACGGCGAGCAGGCCGCAGTCGTCCAGCGGGTCATTTCGGCGACTAACCCAGCCAACCAGTCAACCAGCCCTCCCCTGTGACGACACGGGCATCTTTGTTGCCGGCATCCACCTCGACGCCCTGGTCTGACCTCTACGACGCCGGTACCGTGCTAGGCTTGTGCCTAGGCTTGGGCGCCGCAGCCAACGTCTTGACCACCAACTCGTTCGCCAACCACGCCATTCCGATAAAGCTTCGAAAGGACAAGAAGTGCCTGCCATCCTAGGCGGTGCCCTCCGCTCCCCTCCTCCTCGCCATCGACATACTTCCTCTCCATCCGTACCCGGCCCAGCAGTCTTGTCCTGTTCCGACTACTCTCACCCGCTAGACGATGCGCCGCGTGCAAAAGTTTATCGGCGTGGCCGACGCCAAGCCGGCATCGGCGCCGCTCCCGTCGCCTTCGAGCACCGCCAGGCACGCCAACACCGGCGAGAGCGGCAGCAGCGGATCTCTCAGCTACGACTCGCAGCATGCCAACACGGCCACTGCTGGGTCCAACCTCCAGGTGCCCGCAGGGACACCGGGCATCTACCAGAACCAGCCCACCGCCCCAAGTGGCTCCGTGCAATCGCCCTCGTCAATGCGCGGATCCAACCCGCCCAGCCCCTCGATGCACAACCGTGCATCCGTCGCCCAGCCGCCGTACGGTGACTACTTTGCCGCAGCGCGGACCAGCGGAGCGACCTCGCCCGTCCCATCGGCTGGTCCGATGCAGACGCCAAGGCCCATCACGCCCGTCCTGCCTTCGGGCGCTCCGTCGCCGGGCCTCGGTCCGACCATGCCCACGTGGGCGCAGTCTGCGACCGCCGGCGAGGCCCTGGCCATCGAGAGGGCCGACCTGCACAAGACGCTCAAGGCGCTCGAGGGCCTCTTGGTCAACCTTGACGAGTACCGCGACCTCGCCGCTCGGATGGCCAAGGCCGAAAAGAAGCTGGCAAGGAGCGCCAGCGAGCTGGCCAAGGTCAAGTCGGTGCAGCGCGCCCCCTCGGCCACGCTCGCCGTGGCCTCGACCATGTTCGACTCGCTCAACGAGGTCTCCTCCAAGCACGCCAAGCTCGTCCAGCGCGAGTACGAGTCGCTCAACGAGTCCTGCGCAAAGTACTTCAAAAAGGTGGCCAAAGAGGAGCGCGCCCACGAGGAGCTCGTAGACTCGCTCGACGCCAAGATCAAGAAGGCCAACGCCGCCCACGAAAAGAACGCCAAGAAGGCCTCGAGCAGCAAGGCGCTCGAGAGCCACGACAAGTATATCGCCACCGTCCAGGCTTTGACGGCCGACATCAGCCGCGCGCGTCAGGCCCACTGGCGCTCGATGGCCGTCAAGAGCCACTCTGCCTCGCTCGTCGCCGCAAGCACATTGGGCGGCCTCGCCGACGTCGACTTCCGCACCCGCTGCGAGACGGTCCGCCGCGTCGGCCCGCATGTCGGCAAGCTCAACGAGTGGCTCAGCTTCACCAGCTCAGAGGCCATGCCGGCGCTGCAGCCGGCCGACCTGGACGAGAATGAGGTGCTCCACGCGCAGTTCCTGGCCAACGCCGAGGCGCAGATGCAGGCGTACGCGGACGCCCAGGCAGAGGCACAGGCCCGGATGCAGGAGGAGGCGCAGACCGCCATCCGCGCCCAGCAGATGGGTTGGCGGCCGCCGTCTGCGGCGAGCCAGCGGCCCGAGGAGCCCACGGCCACGACGCTGGCCAACCTGCCCAAGCTCGATGAGAGCGGCCGTTTGATCGAGCAGACGCCTGCTGCAGCCCATGCGGATGAAACACAGCCCTCCTCCGACCGAGCGTCGGTCCGGAATGTCGGCAGCGCCAGGGACGGCGACGCAGCTTCCGTCAGAAGTCAGGCTGCATCCATCCAGCCATCGCAGGCTAGAGCTACGCCCGCGCCTGCCGCCTCCAACAGCGACAGACCATCCAGGGAACATCTGGCAGAGATGCAGCCAATCGAGAGCAAGCCGGTAGCAGAAGCAGAGGCAGCCGCCACCACGACGGCGAGCACCCCTCCGCAGGACACGCTCAACGTTGCGGCAAAGGGAAGCAGCAACAGCGGCGTGCGCCTTGACCGAGCACCTACGGGCTCGACGATGAAGTCGATGGCGGTGCAGGCCGAGAGCTGGGAACACAGCAGCCTGGCCGGCGAGGACCAAGGGCAAGGCCAGGGCGAAAGCGGAGGCGAGGGCGAGGGCGAGAAAGGCCACGACGGAGCTGAACACCAGCATCTCGAGCAGCAACATCAGGCGGACGGGGACGACGAATCGAGCCGCTCCGTCCACGGCCGGAAGGATTCCTCGACTGCCGAGGGGACCGTCGTCGATCGCCTCTCTGCACCGACTGACGGATCCGATGCGACCATGCCGAGCCTCAGCCGAAGCGGGAGCGCAAAAGGATCCGAAGACGGCGTCAGGGCGCCTAGGACGCCGCTCGACGGCGAGGACCTCCGCTCCAGCACCGCCGTCGGCGTCGCCGAGTCGGACCGTCGCAGGGACGGTGCCGACGAGGGGCAGAGACGAGATACAGCCAGCCCAAGCAAGACTCGGCCGGCCGAGCGGGCACTGGACCGCTACAAGACACTCGGACACGACGCCGATTCGACGCCGCGATACCCGTCGGACCTCCGCCGGGTCGATGAGCCGATGGCCTACGATCAAGACCCTGGAGCGGGCCAGGACGAGTATTCGCGGGCGCGCAAGATCAGCCTCTGGGAGCGAGAGCGCGAGCGCATGCGGCAGCTCGAGCGCGAAACCGAGCTGCAAATGAGGCTGAGGGAGGAGCAGCTGGTGCGCTCCGAGCCGCCATACGCAGCCTACGCCTCGACGGGGCCGGCGGCGGGATCGGGGCCATCGTCCTCGTTTTCGTCACGGCCAACTTCCAGCCTGTACGGCGGCGGGCGCGCCCTGCCATTCGCTGTTGGCGAGAGCGCGGAGGCCTATGGCAGAGGCCCCAACGGCGGTCCGGGCGGCATGTCGAGCGAGCCCTACGACCCAGACCGATACGCGCCAGCAGTGGGCCGCAGCCGACTTTCGGGCGTCAGCGTCAGCCGTACGCTCAGCACGGATACGACGGCGAGCGAGCGAAGCTTTGTGGCGCGGATGAAGGCGAGGTACCAGGAGGAGAAGGAGCTCGAGAGGTCGCAGCGGGAGCTGAATGCCCTCGAGAGGGAGAAGGCGGCGAGGAGGATGGCGCTGCCTCCCAACACCGACCTGTCGGTGGCGGGATCGAGGCGCGTCTCGGAGATGGCTTCGCGCTACATGGGCAGCGATTCGATGAGCTACGGCGGGGGCAGCGTCAGCAGCGGACGGCAGCAGGCTCCTCCGCTCTCGTCGCGCACCTACGACGCGAGCATGCCGATGCGGAGGTACCACGACAGCCTGCCGAGCTCGAGCAGCCTCGGAGGGGCTCGGAACCTGGCATCGCCCCAGCCGGCGCACCCGCAGCCCAGCGAGTTTGGCAGCTACCGCGATCCGGCGCCACGGGGCAATCGGCCCTCGCTGCCACCTCAGCCTTCGCAGTCGCCGATCGACAACGAGCCGCCGCACTCGGACGTGTGCGGGTGTCAGCGGTGCTCGGTTCGTCACTACGGTTCGGGTGGCGGCACTGGCGCAGCATCTTCGCAGCAGCAGCAGCAGCAGCAGCAGCAGCAGCAACGGCCGCCTCCCTCCCGCTCCGCCGGTCAGGATCCGCGCGAGTTCAACCAGAGGCGGCAGAGCATGCCGGTCCGGGCGCAGGGCGATCTGCGCCCGCCGCAGTACGGCAGCGCGGGCGAGTACGCGCGGCAGAGCTACGAGGACCTGCGCGGCGGCCAGGAGAGGAAGGTCGCCTTTGCACATACCCCACAGACGATCCGCTAGAGCAGCGAGAGTGGTCGTTCCCCCCGGTCCTGTTACCCCTTTCCATCTTTGCGATATCCACTTTTGCTAGGTTTCGAATGAATATCAGCCGCTTGCCTGACTGGATTGTCCCCCGCCACCAGAAGGTGGTCGTCAATGATCAGCAGCGCCAGTGACGGGACAGCTCCCGGTCCTCCTGCCTTGCCATGGTCGCATCGAAAGGAAGGCGTCTCAAGGACCGCACGTCTCGGGGGAGAGAGCATTTCACACGGATGTCATTCGCCCGTCGTAGTCGGCATGCGTGCCGATGCTAGGTGATGCCGATGCCAGCTGCAAGCAGGGCTGTGAAGCGAAGGCAGGGAGGGGCAGGAGGGGCGCAGTCTATTGCGCGTCTTGCTTCTTTCCGTCGCTGTCGGAGCTTATGAGGCCGAGGTCGAGGATGCTTGATGTGGCCCTGACCTCGCCCTGTTCCCGCTGCTGTGCCGCCTCCTTGGCCTGCCTCTGCAGCCAGTGGTCCTTGATCTCCTTGGCTCGCGCAATCTGACATCGAGCGTGGTGGGGTGGAGACAGAGGACCAGAGGCAGAGGGAAAGAGGGGCAAGGGGCGGAGGGGAGCCTCGATGTCAGTCTCGACATTCCAGGTTCGCCTGCGCTCTCCATCGAGCCTCGGAGCCGTAGTCGCCGCTGCACAGCGGGCGAATGGGATGTGATGCGGGCCAAAGACGACTCACCTCCTTTGTGTGGTGCAGGCACTCGAGGTAGTCGTCCTTTTCGCCGGCGCAGTCCTTGGGCGAGTCAGACTGGGCGTAGCACTTGGAAAACTCCTGCCAGTGCGCAAAGCAGCGGGGACGTCCGCCCTTGAAGCCGAATCCGGACTGTGCGACCGAGAGGCGGCGATGGCGGCCGGCGATGGCAGCAGCAACGTAGCGGGGAGATAAGGAAGGAAGGAAGGCATGGTTTCCAGTTCAGCGGGTCCGTTGCTTTGACCGTCCGACGCAGCCGGAACATGCGACGGCGTCGGCATGGGACACTCACAGCCATCTTGCGGGTGTGTCTGTAGGAGCGTGTGAAGCGAGGAAGATGGTGAGAGTCGAACCAGCTGCAAGAGGACAACGACGACGACGAGGATGCGGTGGTGTCGGGTGGTGCGGCGACGCTCCGACGCAGCGCGGGGGAGAGGGGGGCAGGCCTGGGCCAGGCCATCTTGAATGGTGCGATCACACTTCGCTTCCGAAGTCGCCGCCTTTACTCGTCCGGGACATGGGACGCCCATCTGCCTGCTTGCCTGCTTGCCTGCTTGCCTGCTTGCCTGCCCGCCTGCCTGCCCGCCTGCCTGCCCGCCGACCTGCCCGCCCGCCTCGTGTACGCGTCGCGAACCCCGAAAGGGTGTCACTTTTGCTCCACTTTCGACGAGGACCTGCTGGCCAAGGCTGGACTCCTTCTCCTCCTACACCTCCTTCACTCCCACCCCTCTCGCAGGCCTTGGGGATACTCAGCGCGCCCGGCAACGCCGCTTTAGCTCGCACCACGCAGCTTGTCTCCTCGTCATTCTCCCTTCTCGCTTGGCCCGTCGAACCTGCCGACCCCCGCAACCGCCAACATGGCCGAGTCCTGGTCCGCCAACTCCAACAACGCCACGGTGCTCAAACTGGTCGGCGCCCCCGAGCCGTCCAACAGCGCCTTCCACCCAGAATTCACCTATCCCATCTTTGGCGAGGCAGAGACCATCTACGGCTACCAGGGCCTCGCCATCAACCTCCACTTTGCCAGCGGCTCCCTGCAGCCCATCCTCAAGGTCGACTACTCGGCCAAAAACGAGAGCACCACAGCCAAGATCGACGATGTCGATGCCACCCTCAGGGAGTTCCTGCCGGCCGACTGCCTGGGCAGGGAGCAGCAGTCCATCTTCGACGAGACGGTCGCCAAGGAAGCCTCCAACTTCCGGCCGCTAGGCGAAAAAGTCTCCTCGTACACCAGGCGCAGGAGCGGCAGCAAGGGCAAGGGCAAGGCCAGGAACGGCGCCGGGCCATCGAGCGGCGCCTCGCTGTCGGAGGACGACCCAGAGGCCAGGGTGTTTGAGGTCTACCGGTCCACCTGGGACACCGAGGGCTTCCGCGAGTACCACCGCAGGATGCAGATCTTTGCCCTCTTCTTCATCGAGGGCGCATCCTACATCCAGGAGGACGAGACCAATTGGGAGTTTTTCTGCCTCTACGAAAGGGTCAGGCCGCAGGCGCACGACGAGCCGCCAAGCTGGCACTTTGTCGGCTACACGAGCCTCTACCGCTTCTGGTGCTGGCCGGACGCGGCCCGGATGCGCCTCAGCCAGTTTGTCATCCTGCCGCCCTACCAGAAGGCCGGCCACGGCGGCGCCCTCTACACGACCGTCCACGGCGAGATGCTCAAGCGGAGCGAGGTGACCGAGATGACGGTCGAGGACCCGTCCGAGGCGTTTGACCGCCTGCGCGACGGCTCCGACCTGCGCAGGCTGCTGGCGCCGGGCGGCTTCGTCGAGCACGCCAAGGCCGAGCAGAGGCTCCGGGCGCCCATCGACCGCAACTGGAGCGAGGAGCAGAGGCTGCGCAACAAGATTGCGCCGCGGCAGTGGAACCGGCTGGTCGAGATGCTGCAGCTGCTCCACCTCGATCCCGAGGACGCCGAGCAGGTGCGCGCCTACCGCCTCCAGGTCAAGGCGCGGCTGTTCCGCTTCAACAAGGACATCCTCACCCAGCTGCCCAAGCACGAGAGGCTCGTCAAGCTGCAGGAGACGTACGAGAGCGTGATCGACGAGTACGGCGAGCTGGTCGGCGTCGACGTCGAGCTCATCCTGGCCGTGGGCGAGGCCCAGGGCGAGATCGGCCGCCACGCCGGGGCAGAGGAAGGCCCGCCGCGCAAGATGGCGAGGTTCGTCTGATGCGGCGGCTATCGCGCGCCCCGGCATTGGCGTCACCGCGCCGGTGAACTGCAATCGTCGTGATCGTCGTCGTCGTCGTCGCCGTCGCCGTCATCGTCATGGCCAGATGCCGTGCTGCCAATTTAATTGCTCTGCTTGCGATCTGCGCACAAATACTGGCCCTACACACTGTCGTCGAGTTGGGGCTGTCGCGAAGGGTCGAGGGGCCCAGACTGAGCCGTGGGCCGATCGGGGCATCGGGATGACAAGTGGTTGATATCGGGGGTCACATCGTTTCCTCCGACGATCCCGCGGGCGGCCGGCCAGCGGCAGACGGAGATTGGAGGCAGGCGGTTTTTTCCTCTCCCGTCTGGCTGCCCGTCTCGCCTGCCCGCCTCGCCTGGCCTGGCCTTCGGAGGCGATTTTTTTTTTCTCGCCTCGTTTTCTTCCGCGCCTCTGCTGCTGGCCTGCCTTCGGCCCCTGCCGTGGCAAACGAGGCAGAGGCGCTCGAGAATCGTACAAATTGAGCTCGAGGCGACCGCTGCCTTCGTCCCTCTTCTCTCCTCGCTCCCGCCATAGAGCCACCAAAGCCCTCGCCCTTGGTTTCCCGGTTCTCTCTACCTCCCCTCGTCGTCACCTTTCCGTATACCCACACCAGACTCCCTCGACCCCCCCTCCCTGCCTCTCTACCCTTCCGTCTTCGCCGTCCCCCGTCACCGTTGCGTTCAAGATGGCCGCCAACGGAACCCCGCTCTCGGCCTCGGAGGCCGTCGCCCACCTCCAGACCTACAAGACCGGCGATGGTCTGTCGATGGCCGAGCTGATCGACTCGCGCCAGCACGGTGGTCTCACCTACAACGACTTCCTCGTCCTGCCCGGCTTCATCAACTTCCCTGCCTCGGACGTCAGCCTGCAGACCAAGGTGACGCGCAACGTCACCCTCAACACGCCCTTCCTCTCGAGCCCCATGGACACCGTCACCGAGACCGAGATGGCCATCGCCATCGGCCTCATGGGCGGCATGGGCGTCATCCACAACAACATGTCGCCCGCCGAGCAGGCCGCCATGGTCCGCAAGGTCAAGAAGTACGAGAACGGCTTCATCACCGAGCCCCTCTGCCTCAGCCCCAACGAGACCGTCGGCGACGTCCTCGAGATCAAAGAGCGCCTCGGCTTCGGCGGCATCCCCATCACTGGTGAGTCCACCCTGCATCGTCGAGACGCGCTCTCTCGCCTGCCTCCGCCGCTGCCGCCGCACGACGACGACGACCGGCGCCGTTCCCCTCTTTCATGATGAAATTCTTTATCACTGCTGTAACCTTCGTTCTGCCTAGCCCCACCCTTAGACTTGGGTGCGGGACTGCGGATTTGATAACCTATGTCCACTGATCCAAAGCGGCGGCGGCAGCGCAGCGCAGCGGCACCGCTTGCCATCTCTCTCGGATGACGTTGGCCAAGGCACTGACGAGCGAGCTCCTTCCTCCTTGCATGCCCGCCACTGCGCAACAGACACCGGCGCCCTTCACGGCAAGCTCGTCGGCATCGTCACCGCTCGTGATGTCCAGTTCCGCGATGCCGGCATCCCGCTCAAGGACGTCATGACGACCGACCTCGTCACCGCCAAGCAGGGCATCACGCTCGAGGAGGCCAACACCATCCTGCGCGACAGCAAGAAGGGCAAGCTGCCCATTGTCGACAGCGAGGGCCACCTCGTCGCCCTGCTCGCCCGCTCCGACCTGCTCAAGAACCAGAACTACCCGCTCGCCTCGAAGCGCCCCGTCTCCAAGCAGCTCTACTGCGCCGCCGCCGTCGGCACCCGCCCTTCGGACCGCGAGCGCCTGGCGCTTCTCGTTGAGGCCGGCCTCGACGTCGTCATCCTCGACTCGTCGCAGGGAAATTCGGTGTATCAGATCGAGATGATCCAGTGGATCAAGCAGACCTTCCCGCAGATTGACGTCGTCGCCGGCAACGTCGTCACGCGCGAGCAGGCCGCCAACCTGATCGCCGCCGGCGCCGACGCGCTCCGCGTTGGCATGGGCAGCGGCTCCATCTGCATCACGCAGGAGGTCATGGCCGTCGGCCGTCCCCAGGGCACGGCGGTCCACGCCGTCGCCGAGTTTGCGTCCAAGTTTGGCGTGCCCGTCATCGCCGACGGAGGCATCTCGAACGTCGGCCACATTGCCAAGGCGCTCTCGCTCGGTGCCAGCGCCGTCATGATGGGCGGCCTGCTCGCCGGCACCACCGAGTCGCCCGGCGACTACTTCTACCGCGACGGCAAGCGCCTCAAGGGCTACCGCGGCATGGGCTCGATCGAGGCCATGGAGCACCAGAAGAAGCCCAAGATCGCCGGCGCCACGGGCAAGGGCGCCGCCAAGGCCGACAAGGTGGCCGCCGACCTCAACGAGAACGCCGCTACGCAGCGCTACTTTAGCGAGAGCGACGCCGTCAAGGTCGCCCAGGGCGTCGCGGGCGCCGTGCAGGACAAGGGCAGCGTCAAGAAGTTCCTGCCCTACCTGTACACGGGCATCCAGCACTCGCTGCAGGACATGGGTGTGCCCAGCCTGCGCGAGCTGCGCGGCGCCGTCGCCAACGGCCAGGTGCGCTTTGAGCTGCGCACCGCCAGCGCCCAGGTCGAGGGCGGCGTCCACGGCCTGCACAGCTACGAGAAGCGCCTCTTCTCGTCGTAGACGCCTGCGTCCCCCCTCTGCTATCTTCTTATTTCACCTAAAAGCACAAAAACGAGTCGGGCCCCCGGTCGCAGACAGCCTCTCCATCACCACCCTTTCTTTCCCCTTACCTCGCAAGCATCCCCAGCCTCTCCCTGTATAGCATCTCGCATCCCCCATTTCCCCTCGCCCCCCTTTCGCCGCCGTCCATGCCGCCGTGTGGTGGCGGCTTCCCTGTACTCTAGCATCTCCCATCATCCTATGTCGAACAAGAGAGTTTGTCGATCTCTCTGCTTGTCTCTGCGGTGCGGCTTGGCGGGATCGTGAGTGTGAGAGAGCAGCTGGCGGTGAAGGGCAAGGAGGAAGTGGCAGCGGCTGGATCGCGGGACTCGGGCGCGCAGCAGAAGAAAAAGTCGAGGCGCCGAGCGGGTGGCCTGGCCGACGAAAATTTCGAGGTGGGCGGGGGTCCTCGGCCCTTCTGCTGCCAAGCTGCTGGCCACACGACCACCACCATCAGCACCACGCCATCATTCATCGCTGCAGCCCGGTCTCGAACGGCATCCAGCACCAACTCCATCGCCATGGGCAAGAGGAAGCAGCAGTCAGCTTCGCAGGCCGTCGCCGAGGGCTCGGCATCGCAGGCCGGCACGCCCGTCACGGCAACCGGCACCAAGAACAAGAAGCAGCGGAGGGCATCGGAAGCCTCGGTCGCCTCCCCCACGAAAGCCCTGGGCGCCACTGCAACGGCGTCGGCAGCACAGCAGGTCGCATCCGGCTTCTACGCCGTGCCCATCACGCTGCCCTCGACCTCGATCCAGCCCCCGCCCGTGCACTACCTCTACTGCCGCGCCCACGCCACCTCCACATCGTCGAGATCGGCCAACAACGAAGGCGACGACGACGAAGATGACGGCAGCGGCGCCGGAAAGAAGAAGCGGAAAGAGGATCTGCTCCCCGCCGGCAGGACGCTCTTCTGCGTCAACCTCCCCGTCGACTCGACAGAGAAGCACCTACGGGCGCTGTTCAAAAAGGCGGGCACCATCCACAGCGTCGTGTTCCAGCAGCTCAGGGGTGTCCCAGGCTTCTACGCCGGAGCTCAAGAGGAGGAGCAGGAAGTCGAGGAGGACGAGGAGGATGCAGAAGATGACGGAGAGGCCCAAGCGAATCCGGCCGGGCCTGCCAAGGGCAAGGGCAAGGGCAAGAAGGCAAAGAAGCCCAAAGGCCCTCCTCCGGTAGCAGAGCTGCCAGCGCTCGACCCTCGCATCGCCAGGGGCTCGGAGCCGCTGTTGACGACGGCGTCGAGCGCCTACGTCGTTTTTCTCGACGACTCGTCGCTAGAGCGGGCGCTCGAGCAGATCCGGAGCGGCCAGGTCCGGAGCTGGCCGGACCCGTTCAAGTCGCTGGCCGAGGCGGCGCGCCACGCGGCCGACAACGAAGACGCGCCCAACGACGTCAAGAACCGCCACGCCAAGACGGCCGACCAGTTTGCCGTCGAAAAGGGCGCCGCGGACCGCATCCCCCCGCTCGGGCTGCAGCTGCTGCTCGAGCAGCACCGGTGCGCGCGCCCGCCGATGGAGGCTGTCAAGGCGTATGCCGACTCGACGATTGCCCGCTTCGCCTGGATCAAGGCGCACCCGGCGCCGCGCAAGGTGGGCGTCAAGGGCGTCACGGTCGGGCCCGACGGCGAGCTGCTCGACGAGGACGGCTTCACCATTGTCCAGCGCGGAGCCAAGACGGGCGGCGGCTACGGCTTCGCCGAGGGCGGGCTGGGCACCGTCAAGGCGTCGCGCGTCCGCCTCGGCCGCGAGCGCGAGTCGGACAGCCGCAACAACAACACCAAGAACAAGAGCAAGGACCTCGAAAACTTCTACCGCTTCCAGGTGCGCGAAAAGAAGCGCGAGAAGCTCGCCGACCTCCGCGCCCAGTTTGAGGCCGACAAGGCCAAGGTGGCCAAGCTCAAGGCCAGCCGCCGCTTCAACCCGTACTAGAGCGTGGCTGCCATGGAAAATCATGTACATGTACAGTAGCGTACGATGTCGTCGTCCCGTCGCGATCGCAATCGCAGTCGCAGCCATCGTCTATCGCGCCCGAAGAGTGCGGCCGTCTCTCGTGTGACGAGACGTGGCACTTCGAAAAGGCATGGCCGGTCGAAGTGGGGGCTCGTTGTCCGTCAAGTCAGCCGCTTCTTCTGCTCAACAGCCCGCCATTGCGAAGAGGCGGTTGGTCTCATCTCGTGGTCCAGCGGGGATCCTTCCATCGCTTCCCTGTCCGTGCGCGTGTGCAACTACGCTCGAGATAGATGAATTCACGCTCAAAGCCATGTCGTCACAAAAAGGTGGAGGCTGTGGCTCGAATTGCTGCCTGCCTCCTGGGCATAGCCCAGACTCGGGCTTGACAGACCGACACGCCCCCGTGGGTAGGGGTGGCGCGTCTGCCGCTATGAGGAGGAGGCGCGCGGGGGGAGGGGGGGCGCAAGGACAAACACAAGGCGTTGATTCGAACAGGTGTGACGAGCAGAGGGAAGGCGGCATCGCAAGCCTGCCGCTCGACTGACCAGGCGCAAAACCAGGGTCGCTACCGGAGCATCGTTGAGCAGGACCGTCCGCGATGGTCAGGCCGGTACAAAGGGGCCGAAGGGGATGCGGTTGTACGGTCCGCCCTCGCTGTTTTGGACTGCGGTCAAACGAGGCAGAGCGGAAGAGAGTGCGCGTCAGGTTTCGGCAGTTAGAGCCGGCCCTCCCGTATGAGCAGGCTTGACCGGGGGCTTTGATTTCTTCGATACTCACCTTCAACATGCCACGCTGTGGCTTCGTTGCTGGCGTCACGCCGGACCGCGGCGGCGATCGAGTCACTATAGTACTTGGCTTGCACCGGTTCGATCCACGGGGGAAGCGAGACCTCGTCATGCTGCGAGACCAGGCAGAGGGTATTGACATGATTAACGACGAGCGGCTTCCCCTCTTTGAAGATGCAGATCCTGTAAGAGGGGCCGTTGAGCGATCCGAACTCGGCGCAATCATCTTGCGAGATGAGTTGACAACCCTCGCTGGCGGGGTAGCACTTGATGTTGGCGGGCGCGCCGTCCTCCATGACCAGACGGAAGTCGTTGATGTTCCTCGCGCAAATGTTGCCGTTCGATCCGATGGTGAAGAAGGGGTGATTGCGTCCGCTGCCCAGGTCCCATCGGTACTTGTGCGACGGGGATTGACGGCCAGTATCGGAGGTAAGTACAATGGCTGGGCCTCCAGAATCTACAGGGTTCGGCGAGCCGCATGCGCTGGTGGCGACGAGCAGCGGCAGCAGGCACAGGTACGAGGTGATCTTGGTCATCTTGCAAGGTTGAGGCTGATCGAGATTGGTCTATGGGACGACGGACGACGGACGACGGAGTAGGGGATGCCGAGTTGGGGTGAGGATCGAGGCTGCAGTCGGCAGCTTCCCCGCTACTTATACCCTCCAAAACCTGCCCAAGGTATGGCGGGTCAAGCTCTTGCACGCTCCTCCGATGTGTGTGACTGTCGACGGCCGAACAGGTGGGTTGCCGGATTGCCTGCCTGCGCTTCATCCGCCATACTCCTGCGGAAGAGCCGCGATGACTTGCGATGGGGGACCCCTGGCCCGGTCTAGTGGGCTCGTCGTCCTCTGTTGCACCAACGCTCCGGCTGGGTCGTCACAGTCGCCACACAGGACAGCCGTGAAGACTATCCGCCCACCCTCAGCCCGCGGTGGGTCTGCGACTGTTTCCACCGTGACCCGTCATTGCTCCATTGTGTGCGAGCGGATGTAGCCGCGCTCGAGTTCGCTGCTTCACGATTACAGACACGCTGTCACGGGAAAGGCTCGGTGCTGACTTGCTACGTGCACATGTGCCTGGGCCGTGTAGCCCACAAGCACCACCGCTGGCGCGACTTTCTCATAAACGCGGGTGTTGGCAGCGACAAAGCGATACGATGCAAAGAGCGGGGGGCAGAGCGGGTACCGTCATCCGGCCGCACAACAGTATCCTCTCGATGCAAAACAGAACCTCTACTGGCGGTGCAGCGTCGACATTGACTTGGCGCGACGGTTAGGCGGGCACAAAGGGGCCAAACGGGATGCGCTTGTACGGTTCGCCCTTGTTGACTTGGACTGTTCTCGGACCGGGACGAAAGCATGGCGACGGAGGCGACGGCAGCGTCAACATGGTCCTTGCGCGCTTCCCCCTCCGTCGCTTGCCGAGCTGGCGGCAAGGACACGGCCGGTGGAGAGCCTCACCTTCAATCTGCCACGCAGGACGTCCGTATGCGGCGTTTTGGGCGATGGTGTCGGCGATAAAGTCGCTGTAGCAGTAACCCATGTTGTTGACGCCCAGCTGCCCCGTCACCCGCGGTTCGGCTTGTTGCGAGACGAGGCAGCGTGTATCGCCGACCGGCGTGGCCTGCCCGTAGAGGCAGAACTTGAACGGATGGCGATCGGCATCTGGCACAGTGGTGCAGACCTTAGGCTCAACCAAGTCGCAAGAGAGATTGGGCGCGTGGAAGCAGTCGATGTTGGCGGGCTTGCCGTCGGGTCCGACCAAATGGAAGTCGTTGATCTTCTTGGCGCACAGGTTCCCGGCTGGCTCAAGCGTGAAGAAGGCGTCGGGCGGGATGCCACGCGACTGGACGTTCCATCGGTACATGTGATTGGGCGATCTGCTGCTGGGCAGGTTGAGTGCGCCACGGCCAGCGCCGTCGACGTTCGGGGCGACCAGCAGCACCAGAGCCAGCAACGGGACAATGTAGGAGCTGGCCTGCATCTTGGCAGTGGCAGGGCTGGATCAGATGGTGGCTGCGCGTACAGGAGCTGAAGTAGGAGGATGAGGATGTGCTGCTGCTGCGTCGTGGGCGGGCAATCGGACGAAGTTGGGAGGATCGCACGGTCTTAAGTACGAGCCCTTGATTGAGCCGGGACCGGCCTCATGACACTGTCGTCCTCTCTATGGATCGTAGCAGCGGTCAAGCCCGAGTTGGTGCTGGACCAGGAAGCGGCGACCAGCTCGCCGGCTTGCCCGGACCGAAGGTGGGGGCGACTCGGGAACGCCCCGATGATTGCAACGTCTAACAAGCAAGGGAAAGCTCGAGCGTTGTCGCGCTGCATTGGTGGTCACCGTGGGTCGCATCGCTGGTCATTGAGGCGCATCGCTTGATGTATGAACGGTGGGGACCGGGAGGACTACTGCTTGCGGTCAGCCCGCACGTGTGATCCTGTACGATTGTACTGCTGGACGTCGCGATCAGGAGCGCTCAACCCCCCCACCCCTGTTGGCTGAAGGTGGGGTCGCCTGCGGATCTGCCGAGAGCGTGGGTGATGTACTAGCGGACGCTTTGTCCCCAGCATGGCAGCTGCCAGTCCACGGGTGGGACCGATCTCCTGCTTCGAGAGGCTGTGAAGCATCCCTGCTGTATCCTGGTTTCCCCAAGTGGGCCGCTGACTGCATTATCTTGGTTCGGACGAGCCCCCTGCTTTCGCCTTCAGAAGTGGCCAGGTCATGTTTTACGAGTTCAGCATCGCTGTGTGCCAGCGTGATTTCACCCTCGCGATCCCGACGGCACAGAAGCTTGCTGCGTGGGGTGCTTCATGATTGACCGGACGGTGGCTCATACGCAGCTGATCTCGAGCGAGAGAGGAGGGAGAGGAGAGGGAGGTGGGAAGATCAGCGGCAAGACCCCTTCGAGAGCATCTCGGTGAGGCAGCATCGCCACCGGTACTCACGCAGCGCATCCTCGTCCGCCTGCTTCGCCTTAACCTCTTCCCACTCCTTTTTTGCCCTCTCTACCGCGTCGCGAAAGGCGACGCCGCCGCCCTCGTTGAACCAGATCTTGAGTTTCCCCTTTGGCGTCTCCGGCTCCCCCGTCTGCCGTTGTGGCAGTCCACCTCCGGTCACAGGAAAGACCTCGGCTTCGAGATACGCTGCCGAGAAGATGGGAATGATGTATCGGAAGTTCTGGAAGTGGTCATGGGGGACCGAGAGGGAATGAAGGGACGTTGGCGGTGGTGCACCAGGTGGCGGCGGTGGCGGCATCGGATGGATCAGGAATACAACCTGGGAGAGAGAGCGAGAGCGAGGTCCAGGAGGAGGTCGAATCTGCTGTCAGAGTCGGAAGGGTGCGCAACGACGTCTCGGAGACTTTGACGCCTCACCCTGCGCGACGTCACGAAGGCCCTGCCGGTGGCCTTGTAGCTGGCCTTGGCGCTGCCCGAGAAGTCGAGTCTGCGATACGGATGCCATGTCAAGGTCATTGTCCTGTCGAGAGGCTGTTGAGAGGCTGCTCTTGGGAGCGTGGCGCGGCTTTCTGCGTTAGGCTGTAGACTCACGTTAGCGCGGCGTTCTGAACCGAGTGAAGGAAGCGCTCATCGTCGAGGGGCAGCGGCCTGCTCGACATCTCGTCGAGCGTCACCCAGTTGAGAGCCATGGGCGGTGAAGGTGTGAATGAGGCAGTGGTGGCAATGACGAGGTTGTCGGGTATGGCGGTGGCAGTAGAAAGGTGAAGACAGGAGTGGCAAGGGATCGCCTGGTGGTGGTCGCCTGGCGGTGGTGGCGCGGTGGCAACGAAGATGGCGGGACACGCCAGCGAGCTTGCAGCTGGACCCTGCGCCAGACGCCCGGGCCAAGCAGGAGTACTACTAGTGAAGCAGGTGGCTGGCTCGCTTTCGGAGCCGGCGAGGTGGTTGGTGCCTCGCTGCTTGGAGCGACGGCTTGCGGCCTTTCACGCTCGCCCGCCTGGCTGGGGAACGGGGCTGGCGGCCGCTGCGGGGCTGCAGGCAGAGTGACGCTGGCCGCTCGCTCCCTCGCTCGGCAACCCCGCAATAGAAAACAAAGCGGAGCCCAAGCGGAAGACGGCCTTGGGCCACCAGCCCCAACGCCCCCTCCTGCCCGGGCGCTGCGGTTGCGGGGACCCTGCTTGCCTGCGGCCGCCGGGCCTCCTACTACTCTGGCTCTCTCTCGCGATGACTGTTGGCCTGGCCAAGCTCCTTGACACTCGCATTCACGCTCCATCCCAGGACCCGCTCCCGTCGATCGTCGCTCTTGCTGGCTCGTTCGCCGACTACCACCACCACGACAACGGTCACCACCACCACCACCACCGCCGCCGCCGCTCCCTTCGCTCCTCTGCCCCCGCCCCCCTTATCCTCCTACCACCACCACCACCCCGCCCCGCTCCCGTCGACCGACCCCTCCATTCTTTAGCCTCCTCACGTACGGCCTCGATCGACCATGGCCGGAATCGCAAAAGCGGCTGCCGGACTGGCGGCCATTGCCTACCTCGACGCCAAGCATGGCATCGGCGCCGACATCAGCCTCGGCCGCGCCGCCAACAAGGCAGAGTGGGTCCACCGCTTCCGCGTCTGGCGCAAAAAGGTCTCGCTCTACTACTACTTTGACCACCACGTCCAAAAGAGGCCCGACAGCATCGCCTACGTCTACAACGGCGTCGACTACAGCTGGAGGCAGGTCAGCAAGGGTGAGTGCAGCGTGGCCCACCACCCGCCTCGGACCCGCCTGTCCTTCCGCGCCCCACCGCTGACGCCCTCAGACATCGGCTTTTTCCCCCTTCCGCCGCCTCGCCAGACGTCCACCGGCTGGCCAACTACATCCTCAGCCAGGGCATCAAGCCCGGCGACCGCATCGCCATCTTCATGGGCAACTCGGTCGCCCTTGTCGAGTGGTGGCTCGCCTGCATGGCCGTCAATGTGACGCCCGCCTTCATCAACAACGGCCTCACCGACAAGAGCCTGGTGCACTGCATCAAGGTTAGCCGCGCGCCCCTGGTCGTGTTTGAGCCTGAGCTCACCCCGTCGCTCGCCGCCATCAAGGACGAGTTGCTCAGCCAGACGTCGGTCCGCAAGTTCCTCCGCTACGACGACGGCGTCACGCCGCCCAACGGCGACGGCGAAAAGGGCGCTGCCACGGGCGCCGAGCTCGCGCTCGACAACGTCGTCGACTTTGGGCCCGCCGACCTGGCAAAGTACAGCGACAAGCGCATCCCCGACAGCTACCGCGACGCCGTCGACGAGTCGACGCCGGCGGCCCTCATCTATACGAGCGGCACCACCGGCCTGCCCAAGGCGGCGCTGTGCTCCCACGGCCGCATGGGCAGCGCCGTCGTCGTGTGGCCCACCATGAACGGTTTCGGCCTCAAGGACCGCATCTACACGCCCATGCCCCTCTATCACTCGAGCGCCCTCTTCCTCTGCGTCGGCGCGTCGTTCTACTCTGGCAGCACCGTCATCATCGGCCGCAAGTTTTCGGCGCGCAAGTACTGGGAGGAGGTGCGCCGCTACGACGCCACCGTCGTGCAGTACATTGGCGAGATCGCGCGCTACCTGCTGGCGGTGCCGCCGAGCCCCGAGGACAAGAACCACCGCGTCAGGATGGCCTACGGCAACGGCATGCGGCCCGACGTCTGGGAAAAGTTCCGGGAGCGCTTTGGTGTCCGCGTCATCTCCGAATTCTTTGCGGCGTCCGAGGGCAACGGCGGCCTGCTCAACTACAACAGCGGTCCCTTTGGCGCCGGCGCCGTGGGACGCATGGGCAAGCTGGCGAGGCGGGTGCGGCCGGACTTCAAGATTGTGCGCGTCGACCCCATCACCGAGGACATCTACCGCGACCCCAGCACGGGCCTCTGCGTCGAGTGCGGGCCGCTCGAGCCGGGCGAGTTTATCATGCGGATCGGCGACCGCTCCATCTCCAAGTTCCAAGGCTACGCCGACAACCCGGAGGCCACCAAGAAGAAGATCCTCAATGACGCGCTCGTCAAGGGCGACCAGTGGTTCCGCTCGGGCGACCTCATGTCCAAGGACGAGGACGGCTTCTACTTCTTTGGCGACCGCCTCGGCGACACGTTCCGATGGCGCTCCGAGAACGTCAGCACGACAGAGGTCAGCGCCGCGCTGGGACAGGTGGTGGGAGAGGCCAACGTCTACGGCGTGCTGGTGCCGGGCCACGACGGCCGTGCCGGCTGCGCGGCGATCCCCGCCGACGAGGCGGCCAAGGTCGACTTCCGGCAGCTGGCCACCGTGGCGCGCAAGTCGCTGCCCAAGTACGCCGTGCCGCTCTTCCTGCGCATCGTGCCGCAGATGGAGCAGACGGGCACCGTCAAGCAGCAAAAGGTGTCGCTGCGCAACCAGGGCATCCACCACGACAAGTGCGGGTCCGACAAGCTCTACTGGCTGCCGCCCAACGCCGAAGGCTACGTGCCCTTCCTGCCCGAGCACTTTAAGCAGATCGAGGGCGGTCGCGTCAAGCTGTGAAAGCTGGACCAGCCCGTCCAGGCCGCGCAACGCGTGGTCCCGTCTGCAGGCTCCTTGCTTTCTCTGTTGCGGCTGTTCCATAGACACGACTGCGCGGCGCCCTCTGGGCCCCTTTTCCCTTCCCTCCCCGACGGCACCGTACGTGGCACGGGATCTGACCGACTCTGATTTGAAACGTTCTCGCTCTTCTTCGCGACGTCTGGTCTGTTGCAGCGTGGCTCGGCCGGACCGATACGTGCCTCCCAGTATAGCTATCCGTGTGCGGAACGAGCAGAGAGGCGGGGCTATCCTCTGTTTGGTCGACATGGCAGGTTATGCAGAGTGTGGTGTCCGAAGCCGTTGGCTGCTGCTGCAACCTCCGCCTCCTTCTCGACGATTGGGGGCCGCCATGGAGCGGTCTGGCATGCGGCCCCCTCCCTCTCTCTTAGCAGCGCATCGGCCTTCGACGTCCGGCGCTTTGGACGCGCCGCTCGGCGGTGAGGCGCCGATTCCGCGGGAAAAAAGGCGAGGAAAAATAAAAACTGGAGAGCTCGAGCGGCCGGCTGCGCGCTCGCGAGCTCTGTTTGCCGGCGTGGACCCGACCGCCGTCCACTCGGGAGGGCCTGGGCCGTCATTTTGGATGTTTCGTGCTTGGCGCTGCCGGTCGTATGATCTCCTTCTCAGCTTCTCGCCGTTGACCCCCGCCTTGGCTATCGGATGCGCCGGCATCTGTCCTGAACCACCACCACCTCCCCTGCCACCTCCAGCGACCAGCAGCGAAGGTCAGCTTCGATAGATTCCCCTCGTCTCGGCGCCAAACCTCTGCCACACCGGAGCTGAGCCGACGCCTTCGGCCGCCTACGTGCCCGACACCTCGATTGAGCCGCCGCTCGACGACGATGCAGTAGTAGTGGAAGGCCGTCATCCCTGGCCGCCGTTCCCGACACCGCACCGCTGCCGTCTCTCTGCTCTCCACGCGATCTACTTGGACAGGAATCGCGCGCCCACTGCCTCGACATGTCAGGCGGCCCCTTGCACCCATCACCGCTGCCCATCACCACCGACGTCACATCGTGCTCGCGCCAGCCTCTGCATCCAACGCCGTCCAGCCTGGATCCGCTGGAGCGATAGCGCACCATCCTGGCCGCGATCCCCAAGAGCTACCATCGTCCGTGCGTGCGACCGAGAACACGCCACCGGTCGCCCACTTCGCCCTCGCCCTCTGCGAGGATTCCACTACTTAGCAGCAGACAGGATCGGCGTCGGAACACCGCCGAGTCGGCTGCTGCGAGGTCCGAGCGACGGAAGCCGGCTGCACCGAAAGGATTCCTCCTGCTGCAGCCACCAGCGACCAGGCTCAGTACTAGTCTAGGAGGGCATCCAGACTTGACACCGACGCGCGCTGGCTCTCTGCGTCCCAGGCAAGGCCGGAACGGGTCGGACGATTGCACCGCTGCCCGCTGCCCCCACCCCGACGGCGATGGCGAGGGCCGGCGCTGCCAGAAGGGACCGCAGGGGTCGAATCGGCTATGCTGCCTCCGGCTCGACGGCCTCGGAGCCGCTCATTGAGCGACTCAACGCGTGGGGCGAGGACCAGTTCCGCTCCCACGGCCGCCGCATCTCGCGCCACCAGATCAGCACGCTCCTGATATGCTCGCTCGTAATCACCTCGCTCTTCTACCCCGCCGTCGGCATCTACTTCTGGGCCTCCAAGGGAGGGCCGGGCGTGTCGAGGGGCGACGCCGCCAGCGTGTGGCGGTCGCTCAGCACGCCTTTCATGGACTCGTTCAGCAGCAGCGGGCGGCGCCACATCAACAGCCTCAGCGATCTACGGATGATCTGGGACGATGCAAGGGACCTCAATGCGCTCGACATCCACGATGCCGAGAGGATGTATGGCCCGCAGCTCGGCCAGCCGCCGTCTGGCCAGCGCGACGGTGCGTCAGAGGGCGAGCCCCCTCGTCGTCCACACTGTCGCACCGTGCGCGTCGAACACGTCTTTGTGACTACCGACGACATCATGGCAGGGCGCGGACCCAAGTACGGCAGCCTGGAACGGCCCATCCTGCAGTCGGCGCTCAAGCTTCAGACCGCGATCCAGGCCGAGATCCTGCCACAGCAGGATGGGGGTTCCGCCCTTGGACAAGCTTACACTTCGGGACGTCTCGCCTGTGTCCAGCCAATACCCAAGCTTCCGGGTCACGAGGGCCGACTCGCGGACGCCGATGGACCACCGAGCTGCCTCGCCCTCTCCCCGCTCGAATACTGGCAGATGAGCGAAGCGGCGATACAGCAGGACGAAGAGCCCGCGCTGACGGCCGCCCGGTCGACGCGCAACGTCACGCTGCAAGGCGTGCCGCTCTCCGTCCCGACGACGCTCGCAGGCCGTTGGCATCTGTTCAAGAAGATGCCGCGGGCCGAATACCTCGCGCTGACCTTCTTCCTCGAGGACCTAAGGGACGACAACTGCGCAGCGGCCGCGCGCAGGGGCGACGATGCAGCCGCCCGACGCCACGCCACCGTGTCGCGATCCCACGCCGCTTGGCACAAGCTGCTGACTCGCGTCACTTCGGGCCAGGTCAAGCTGGTGCCGTCGGAGCAGGACGTCTCGCACGAGCTTCTGCTCGAGTTTGCACCGCGCGAGAAGTCTTTGGCCTGGCGGACGGGACACGTCATCCTGCTGGTCGGGTACGCCATCGTGCTCGTCTACATTGCCCAGGGCCTCGTCAAGATGCGCAAGGTCCACTCGCGCTTCGGCCTGGCGTTTTCGGGCCTCACGGAGCTCATCATTGGCATGGTGATGAGCGTCAGCATCTGCGCGCTCCTCGGCATCCGCCTCACCCTGGTGCCATGGGAGCTGCTGCCGTTCGTCGTCGTCGTCGTGGGCTCGGAAAACATGTTTGTCCTGACGAGCGCCATTGTCAACACGCCCCTGTCGCTGACGGTCCCGGCCAGGATCGCGCACGGCCTCAGCAAGGCCGGAGGTCCAATTGCCATGACGACGGTGGCGGACATGGCGCTGCTCAGCTTCATCGCGCTTTCGATTGGCGTGCGGGCGGTCAAGGAGTTCTGCATCTTTGCCATCCTCTCGTTGGTCATGGACTTCTTCCTCCAGATGACGTTCTTTGTGACGATTCTCAGCATCGACATGCAGAGGCTTGAGGTGAGTGGATCGCGGTCCGTTGGTCGCGCGGAGCGAGGCGCGGAGCTTAACGCTGATGGAAGCCGCATCGTCTCGCCATCATGCATCGGGATAGCTTGCCGATCTGCTTACGCAAGGTGCGAGAAGCTCGCAGGCCCTGCGGAAGAAGGAGATTGCGCAGCTTCGCGAGGGGGAGCCGGGATCGCCCGGCCACAGAGCCAAGGCGTCCGACGGCTTCATCAAGGCGAGCTTCAAGGCGGTGTGGAAGGCCAGGACGGCGCGGACCGCGAGCCTCACCCTCATCCTCGGCTTCCTCGGCGGCCTCTACCTCTACTATGGCACCGGCTACCCCGCGCAGCAGGCGCAGCAGTACGTGCTCGATGTGCCGCGGACCAGCCAGGCACCCGGAGCGATCGCCGCCGCAGGCGGCACCGCGGCAGCACCTCCAGTCTCGACGGGCGCGTTCGACCCGTATGCCCACCTCGACCCGGCCCTTTCTCAAATGCCGTGGTGGACCTCGTCTCCCAGCGCCAACCTGTGGCTGTCGCTCAATCCGCAGGGCGCCTCAGAGTTGCGGATCGTCGTCGAGCCGTGGACGATCCTCAGCCTGCGTTCTGGGACAGCCGATCCACAGGGTCCGATGGCAGGCCAGACGTTCGCCGGTTGGGCCCTTTTCCGACCCAGGGTGAGGGCCATCATCTGGTTCTCGAAGCTGGTCATCCTGCCCATCTCGGGCACCACCGTGCTTCTCTGGATGCTGCTCCTCTACCTCTTGAAGGACACCGAGCTGCTCGATGCGCAGCGCGACAAATCCGAGGCCGAGGATGAATCGACCAACGCGCTCGGCAAGCCGGAAGACGACGGCGATGACCTCGACGATGGTCTGCCGATCGACGTGACCGCCTTCACCGGGCTTCATGCTGCCGATGTCGAATTTCTCGCCGAGTCTCAGGGCGTTGCCGTCAGCATGGACACGGAGTCCTATCTGCGTGTGTGGAAGGCTCCCATCGGCGGTCTGGACGACAGAGACCAGCTCGGGACACCTGCGCTCGGGGAAGGCGCCAGGCTCGCAGCGATCCGCGCCAACAGGGAGGCTGACGCCAGCCCGGTGACTGCGCTTGCCGTGAGCGCGACTGCCGGTCTGGCCGTCATCGGACTCGCTTCGGGTCGGGTATGCTTCGTGTCCCTGGCCACCTTGAAGCTGTTCTTCGAAGGCAAGCACGCCGCCGAAGATTCGTGCGCTGTTCAGCACATTTCGCTGCGCCACCGGACCGCCCTCAACGATGTCGAGTCGCTGGCGGCCATCACCGTCCACCGTGACGGTTCGGCGTACGAGTGGAGCCCTGCCAAGGCCACCGCGGTCCAGATCTCCGGTCCCCGGCCCGAAGCCACTTGGACCGCGTTTGACGTGACGTACGCCGCTGCGGCAGATCCGCTGCCTCCGGCGCTGGGTCCCTTTGCGCCGTCGTCGAGCCTTCCTACCATCGCCTTTGCGTCGTCCGACCGGCGATTCGAGATCAAGAGGCAAGCCGCGGTCGGGCCGGATCTCGAAACGATCTTTGAGATCTCGAGCGGCGAGCGCGCCTATTTCCGCTCAGCAGTCATCTGCCCACAAGCGCGGCGATCGCCCACCGCATTCTCGGTCGAGGACGACGATGAAGGATCGATCTTGGTGACGGGCCAGACCGACGGCGTCGTCCGGGCGTGGGAGCTCAAGGGCGGCAGGCTGCTAAGCACCTTGGACCTCGGCGACGGCGCGATCAGCTGCGTCCGCGCCGTGGTCGACGACGATCAGAGCTCGTGCACCCTGGTCGTCAGCACGTCGAGCAGGGTCTCGCTGCTCGGTCTGGGCTCGGATCCCTTTGGCCAGTTTGGGCTGGAGCCTTCGCTCTCGCTGCCCGGCAGCCTGAATGGCTTCGCGGGCGGGTCTCCCGTCAAGAACCGCACACCCAACGGCAGCACCCACCTCAGCGCGCCCACGTTTTGGGGCGACAACTCGGCGCCGACCACGCCCACCTCGGAGATGCCCAACCCCCTGGCCTATCCGATCTCATCGCACGGCAACGCCGCCCGGCTGCGGCGCGCCAGCGGACACGGCCGGGACCGCAGCGGTGTCGGGAGCGAGTCGTCCAACGCGTCTGGCCTTGCGTCGACTCTGCCTTCGAGCAGCAGCTCTGCCGAGGCGAATGGGCCAGAGGACCGACAGCTCCGCCTGATTGGCTGCATCCCCTGCCTTCGCGGCGGCTGCGAGCTGATTGTGGAATCGAGGTGCTTGATCGGCGTGCGTCGCCGCAACCGGCCGGTGTCGCTGCCGGACAGCCTGCTGCGGCGGCGGAGGATGGAGGCGAGCTCTACGGCCTTGGGCAGCAGCGGCGGCGATGGAGCGTCGCCACGCTGGGAGCTGTGGACGCTGGATCTGCGGTCGGACCTCGACATTGGGCGCAACGGCGAGATTGTGGCGCCCAGGCGGACGCTGCGCCTGGACGGCGATGGTGTGGCTCCTCCGCAGGATGGACGGCATGCGGCATCTCGACAGTCGATCGACGCCGGTGCCACGACTTCTCGGGTCCGCTTCTCGCACGACGGGCCAGGACCGGAGGCGGCGCTGCGCGACCTCGCCTTTACACGGCTGAGCCCCGTGGTGGGTGCGTTCAGCGGGACGACGGCGACGAGCGCGCTCCTGTTTGGATACGGCGGCTCGGTGGGCTGCATTGCCGGCAGGCTGGGCACGCTTGCCCATGCCGCCGCCGCCGCCACCTCGGAGCTCGACGCGGCGCGCTATGCTGCGAGCGGCCAGCGGCGGAGCAAGTCGAGCGGCGGCAGCATCGTCGGCGCCAACGGCGGCGCAGTCTCGGGCAACAGCCTCTTGCGACGCTAGATGGCTAGATCCATCCCGAAATACCTGCCCTGCGGCGCCGTTCTCTCCCAGACGGTATCCTGTCCCATGGCCTGGGCGCCCTCGAGCTCGACGCCCGACCGTTTTCTCTCCATCCATCGCGCCTATCTGTCGCAAGGCCGGCTTTCAGAGCGGTATGTATTCGATTCTGCCCCGGCTCAGCTGTCTTATCATCGTCGTCGTGTCACGTTCCCCCGTCCCGGTCTCGCACAGGAAGGATCTGTTCCCCTCGCCCTCTCACCCCGCACCACCGTCTTGTCCATTGTCGTTTCTCTCTCTCATCTCCTCCTGTCCTGCCATGCTCTCTGCAACCTGTACCAGCACTACAATATGAGTTACCTCGCACGCAACGCCTGCGATCAGTCTGCCTTCGAGGCCGACGCCAGCTTGCACGGTTAGATCGCAGGCCTCGGCAGTCGACGTCTAGGTATCGATTGTTCGGCTCCGGAGGAGGCCCTGCCTGTGTCGGGCACGCGGAAGAACGAGGTGCCGATCGGAGAAGGGGTTGGCTGTGGGTGGGTCCAAGATGGCCGACTCGTGCCCGAGCTCGTGCTCGTACGTGTGCTCGGCTCGGCGCTTTCGGAGCCAGGCCCGGGCGAAGCAAGCTGCAGATCGAGCCAGGCCTGCCTGCCTGCCTGCCTGCGTCTTTCCTTATCGACCAAGCAACGCCGGGCCACCGTGCGTCGCTATCTCCGTCGTCGTCGCCGTCGTCGGTTCCGGCCGCTGCAGTCGTCTGGTGTTTTGGGGCTGGCCCCACCCGACTGGCCGGCCGCCACAAAATGGGTTTTGAGCCAAGCGTCCATCGTTGTGCCAAACGTGCAATCGGGAGGGAGGGGGGACGCCGGTGTGACTCGCCCGCCCGCCCATCCGGCCTGATCTGCGACAAGGCCAAGCCTGGCCAACAGGGCTCCAAGAAGGAGATCTCCCCTGGATAAGGCACGAGCAAGCGGAAGGGCCGTATGCGCCTGCCTGCCTGCCTGCCAGCCTGCCCGCCCAGACGAAGTTCGGCGAGCAGGCCCTGGCGCTGGCAGGCAGAGATGCGCGATGATCGCGCGGCCAAATCTCGGAAATTCGAGGCACCGACGAGCCAAAGGTCACCGTGCTTGCGTTCCGCGCGCCGCCGAGGCCAGCCAGGCAGCCAAGGTGGGAGGCAAGACGAGGCCAAGAAGAAGACGGCAGAAGCCTGGCCTGGCCTGGACTGGCCGGGCGCGGGACGTGCGAAGCCAGCCAGCCTGGCCAGGCCCGGGCTGATGACGCTACGCTGCTGCCCGCCCACGCTTCGCCCACCCCCAACACGCCCACCGGCCTGCTCGCTCGCCTCCCGCCGGCCCCGGCCGCCCTCGCCCAACCGACCCTCCGCCGTCCGCCTTCGTCCTTCGTCTCCGCC